ATTGTAACAATGTTATAATTGAAAAAGTCTATGCTTTTAACTAAAACAAATAAACAAACATTTTTGGACCATCTAACATGTCGGGGGTTGAACCTTTGTATCTTGGACCTTTGGCCTATGAAAGTTTATATTCAGATGTTTTGAAAGTTTTTGAAATCGAACATGATATCATGTTTTCATAACTTTTAAACCAGAAATATTTTAATTGGGCCTTCCAAAAATTACAGCCCCTACAACAACTATGAGTAAGTCGCCTAAAAAGCTAGAGTGTCACATGTATTCAGCCTGTGTTTGCAACCATTCTTCATGTATTTAGAGACAAGATGCACACTAAACTAAACTTTTTTTTATTTTCTCAGGTAGAGCCCACTGAGCTATACAGCTCTTTTTCAGAAGTGACCTGGCCACAAATGATAGCTCAACGAAGTGGCTTATCACGTGGAAATTGATCTCAGCCACATACTCTAAACACATGTTGATTCCAAATGTGGAGGGGAAAAATGGAGAGACAAGCAAACTCCAAATATACAGCAGGCGTCAGGGTCGGGATCGAACCCACGACCTACTGTATACCAGGCGAGGTAGTTTACATCTCCTAGCCACCGTGATGATGATGAGAGAGACCGCAAACTCCAAACATACAGCAGGCGTCATGGTCGGGATCGAACCCACGACCTCCTGTATACCAGACGAGGTAGTTAACATCGGGCCACCATGATATATGGACAGAAGGTGCTGCAGTCCGTTATACGCCCCCTTGAGAGAAAAAGCCCTGTACAGTTCTGCCCGTTAATCACTTTGCACAACGGTGTCGTGACAGTGAGCTGTATTGTGCAATGTGTTACGTGATAACCCGCATTAATAAGATATGCTAGCAAATTTGAAAGAGGGCATTTCAACAGGTGCTCAGATCGTGAACATACTTTATACTGCACAGTAAATCCTAGACTGCAATTTCACCTGGCAAGATCAAAGCATGCACTTGTCACCTTGTGAGGGGGGGGGGGGCAGTGCTTGCTACCTTGTTAACAAGAGGGCAATGCAGTCACATCTATTGCTGTACTGTACTCTTCTGCAACGTCTATGCTCCACACCTTGATTAACTCCCACTGACCAGCATGGCGATGTCTCGTCACATGCCCCTTACTCTCTGCATGGGCATGGCAAAGGGGGAAACGTATCTGTTAGTGGATGGAGTAATGGGCTGATCATGTACTTTATATATGTGTGTGTGTAGAGATATTCTCCAGAATACGCCAGGTCTCCTGACGTTCAAATGAGTTCTGATTGCATTTTTTCGGGTAGTTTTGGCAGTACAGAGCCAGTCATGGAAAGTCCACATTCCTATGGCAGGGACTAGAGGATATTTATTTATTTTGTTGTAGGACGACGTTCATCGACTCCAAATGCTGTTGATGTTGATTGACGAATTTTTCCAGATGAGAACCCATTGGGACTCCAGGAGGGGGGGGGGGGGGGGTGTGAATCTTTCGCGACGGCTACTTGGGTCACACGGGGGCTAAACGATTTTGGGAAAATATCTAATTGCGATTTTTCTGACAGACATTATGATTGCGATTTGATTTGCGATTACATTTTTTTAAGTCAAGCTTCAGCTCAATATTCACTGTGTAATAGATTTAAAACATGTGATGGAGCATTACCACGTGATACCATCAAAATATGAACTGCTCTATATGTTCTAATGCAAGGATGAGAACTTAAAATATATTAATTGCTTCCAACATATTATAAAAAATAAATAGAACAATCAAAAATAGAACATTTGTTAAGTTAAATAAATTAAGTTATAATAAATAAAACAAATCCAATAAGAAAGTAATAGGACTTTTCAAATCACAAAAAAACGCAGCATTTGCGATTTGCTAATCGCATTGTTTCAAATTGCGATTAATCGATTTGAAATCGATTAATTGTTCAGCCCGAGTCAACAAGTGGCCGTAGTGGAACGAAGGAAGGGGTGCTGAGAGTTGACCATCTCCAGGGTTTCGAACCCGTACATTTTTTGTTGTTGCTGGCGGGCAGTGCTTGGTAAAAAGGGCTTCCAGCTGCGATTCCGGCCATGGGCAGCAGAATGGCGCGATCTGCGGAATTCTGCTGCGGGAATGCAGTACGCCCTGTCCTGTGCGCTGATAGAGCCACGTGATTGCGATACCTCCGCTTCGTCGGCTGCTGTGTACTCATTGTTTCGGGATGGTGCTTTGTCTGTGATGTGATCATAATTTGCATAATTGACTTGTGTACTCAGTGTTGCATCAGCTGCGTACACTTTTGTAAAGCTAATAATGTCCGTGACCACAAGCAATAACTTGTGAGGTGTCTTTAACTGAAGCATGCGGATTTCTTTCTTTTACCAACACGTGAGTCAGGGTTAATAACTTGTTTTAAAAATATTTGCACTAATTCTAATTTAAACAGTACGGATTGTGGTTTTACATTTACCTTCATTTTTCTGTCGGGAATCAAATCCAGGCCCTTCTCGCTGTGAGGCGCGAGTGTTACCCACTTGTGGACAGCCTACCACCCTCAGTACTAGCTAATCCAAGACGAAATCAACTTGGAAGGTCACCGAGGCGGTAATTAACGCTGCTTTCCATCGCTAATGCCCGCTGAAGATATTTGTCGTGACGGTTGAGATGCCTCGAACTGAGCGTTCCCAAGGGATTACTGCTGCACATTGACCTGACCTCCAGCACGATTAACGGCATCCCAGTTTTACCGAGAGGCCACGCGATTTGGGTGAGTCCAAGACACTCTAAAAAACGGAACCGTCAGACCGGTCCACACTTATCTGGGAAACTTTTTAAATCCCATGGCGGTTCATCCGTCTGGTTGGGAAAGAGTTCAGGGGTTGTACGTGGACGTCCCTTTTGTCAACCCAACGCTGGATGAGGCCCTTACCATGCCGCGCAAGTCATTGGGGTAATTTTCTCCATACTTCACCACACCGGTCAGCCTCGGTTGCTGAAGCTGCGGAGCATAGACCTGGGAGCATAGAAGAATGGTTTAACGATGGATTTTACTGCACTACCTCTGCCGACGACTGCCCCATAACCACGGAGCCACCTGTTTGTTCAAGGTGGTCACCTATCCAGGCACTTTTCCAGGCTCACCCTGCTTAGCTTCTAACACAGTGCATTTGTGGATGTACACCACTGCATGGTGTGGTGTGCCGGCTCCTAAAAAGGATAACAACCCGAACCTCGTGATACCTCGGGGCTCTCGGCAAGCTGCTCGTTTTACAGATGTCCATTTGTTTCAAAGCTGTACACACTGGCGACTATTAGAAAACGTTAATTTTTTTACGTGGAAATTAATTTCTAATAATTTTAAGTGGCCAGGAGAGAAGAAAAAACAGTTACGGCTGGGACAAAATAGTTGGAATGGATTCTTTGTGATACGGACATTTATTGTTGGCGTTCTGATACAACAACAGGAAACAACAACAACAAAAACGTCGGTTGGCAGTGAGGATATAAAACGTAGTTGCTCATGGTCTGTTTTTCACACTGAGCAAATGTGGGCCATACTTCCACATTAGCTGGGGGGCAGGGACCCCTGTGCAAGGCTCCCTTGTGTCCCGAATTGGCTGTCCCTCCTCTCCCAATCTTTCTGCAGAATCAGATACGCCCCCCGCGCCCGCCCCCCCGCCCCCCCCATGATAATTGGACGTGAGAACAACGCCGAACAAGCCCAACATTGTTTGGACGTGAAATCCAATAACCTTTTGACGTTACAGATTCCCAGGGCCATTAGTCGGAAGAGACCCTCCGGTTTTGTGGCAGCGCCCCATAAATGACAAATTCATTTTAATTCGAGAAGTGCAGAAGCACGTGCACTTGCTGCAACGTCCTGCAAGATGGCGGGGTTGCTAACACGTGTCATCTACAATCGCTCGTTGCATTGTTTTGTCTTTAAATACCTTCCCCCCCCGCCCCGCCCCGCGCCCTTTCCACCTCCTGCAAGTGAGGCTCAATCCTCATTTGCCCGAGCAACGTTGCTGTGTCGAGCACATCTTTTGCAAGTGCCTTTGAAGCAGAGGGATTAATGCACGTTAATAAATGAAATGGGGTTTTATTAAAATTATAACAAAGAGAATGTTATACTTAATCAACTTAAGCGGGGTTTGTGGTCTATTAGACATGCAACGATGCATTGGATAACTGATTAAAATTGATCATCATAATCGTATTTTGTAAGAATTAATTGTATTTTTTATTCACGTCTTATGCAATAGGCTCGCATTACCTCTGTAATCACTACAGGCACTAATCACCTCAGTAGTAATACAAAAAATATAAATATTTATGAACCGGATTGAGACCAAGTCATTGAATCAGGAAGGGGTGAATCATTCCATGCCCACCGGTTATGAGGCAAGAGCTGTCCACCCACTCTGGGTTACCCGGCTGTGTCGATTTATCATCCTACACCCTGCTGATGAGACCGAGGTGAAGTTGTAAACTGTTCCTACAGGTACCACAGAAAACGCATCGATCTGTGAGCGCCCGTTGCCCAATGAATTCGGTGTTATTAAAATTCACCGATTTACGTACACCCCATATTTGAAATATACCGTATACACACAAAGGTCTCCCATATACGTAGCCTATAATAGACGTTGGAGCACGTGCTGTTAGCAAGCACCTATGAAGGCCGGCACGGCACACAAGGGGGTGGGTGGCCAGCACCACGCCCGGCCGCCTTTGTCTTCCGAGTGGCGATATTTACACACCGCACCAGGGACTCGTTTGAGGCTTAGTCGACCTAGCGGAGGCCCAGGCCCGGTTCAGATAATCGTCACCGGTGTTGCCCTTGAGCGGCGATTCGAACTCGGGTCACCGGGTTCACAGCGCAGCGCGCTAACCGCTACACTACCGCTCCCCACGCGCATGCACACACACGCAAACATTTAACGCAGTTGGCTCACATTAACGTTGACCGCTCGTCTGGCGTCGGCGCGGCCGCGCGGCGCGAAGGGTGCGCTGGAGCGGCTGTCCGAGGGGCGCCTCGGCGTGGAGGGGCGGCTCCGCAACGCCGAGCGGGTCGCCGCCACGCTGCAGCGGGACAAGGAGGAGCTGGAGCAGCGGGGGCGCCAGCAACAGCGCACCATCGAGCGCCTGCACCAAGAGGTGGGGAGCCGTGCCGGCGAGAGACGTAGCTGGGACTCGCCGGCGGGGCGGGGGCCCTGAACGCCGGGGCCCTGAACGCATTCGCATGCTCGTTCGCGTTTGCGGCGCTTAACCGGGTGGCTCTCGTACAGGGACGTAGCGGTCACTGTATCACGCGCTTTCGGATGCGTTTCTGCAGCCCTCTGGAGCGCTCTTCCTTCCGATATTAGGAAGCCACTGGAGCTATGCACTTTTAAATCATCTCGATTGAATAACTCATTTCTTTAGAGCTACTTTTCTGTGTTTAGTTTGTTGTCCTTACACCGCACCTGCGATTGCACGGTTGGTTACGTACGGTGCGAAAGAAGTTCAACATGCATAAGTAGAGGTCATGACCTCTCACACGACTATCTGAGCTGGAGATAGACAACGTAAATATACACGCGTCACTAAACTCTGTTTTATTATACCAGACAAGGCCCACTGAGCTCTTTTCAGAAGCAACCTGGCCACAAATGATAGCTCAACAAAATGGATTATCACGTGGAAATTCGTAGCAGACAAATACTCTACTGGAAGGCCTTACAGTGACATAATGGAAACATTACCCTTGCCACAACAAACATCCATCTCTCTACATTATAGTTTACCTCTCAATACTTCCAGAATGGTTTACATAGTCGATCAAAAATCAGTTTTCTTGACACCTCGATCGACCTCTTGAGCTGCTTCTCACAATCTCCGGCATTCTGCCTCCCGACACTTTTGATAAAGAAGTACACACAGGAAGGCCTACGGTTAAGGCCTCGGTGTCCAGCTTCAGTCTGAAGACTACAATGGCAGACTCAGGGCCCTTATGCATAACCCACATCTTTCAGGTGCTCATGACAGATTGGGTATTCTATTGTCGTCTATCTTATTGACTTTACCATATCTACGGTTTGACCACGTGCAGACAGTTTGTCAATCCGCTGCTGGATGAGGACCTCCCCATGGCATACTGTGCGTGTGTTTATATAAGGGAGGAGTGGGAGCGAAGCGGTCAGCGCACCACGCTACGAACCAGACATTGTGGGCGGTTCACGTCCTGACCACGGCGAGCGTCGGTGGCGAATATCGGAACAGATTCCTGGGTCTCCCCTAGGTAAATTTGACCTTAAGTAAGTCCCTGGTGCAGTGTGTAAACATTGGCACTGGGGAGGCAAAGGCAGTTGGGCATATTGTTGGCCACACCCGGCCTCTCATGGTGCTCGCAAACCGCACGTGCCCCAGCAGCCAGTGCAGGCTACGGCGTGATGATATCTGCTTGCACGTGTGCGTGCTTGTAAGCGCGAGCGAGCGTGCGTGCGTGCGTGCGTGCGTGTAACTCGCGGTTCCTGCTGGCGGCCTTGGTGGCGGCGGTGCTTAGCTGCAGGCAGCGCGGCAGGAGGCGTCTCGAGCCTCGGGTTCGGCGGAGCTCGCGGGGTCGCGCGGCGGGAGCGGGGACGTCCCCGGGTCGGAGATGGAGCGAGCGCTGCAGCAAAAATCGAGGCTCCAGGAGATGGTGAGTGTGCACCCAGTCCGCGTGTGGAGGGGAGTGCACCGAGCGCACGCGCCAGTGCCAAGGCTTCGGCCTGTTTGGCCGCCCTGGTCCGCGGCGGCGGCTGGTGGCACTGAGTTTTCTAGATTGAAAACTAATTTCTTTAGAGCTGCTTTTTGTGTTCAGTTTGTTGTCCTTCCCCACCACACCTCCGATGAGCATGATTGTCTATGTACTGTAGGAAAGAAGTTCAACGTACATACAGTTGCTGGGCGGGGAGATCACACCGGCGACCTCTGGATTGCAAGTCAAGTGCGCTAATCATTATGCCGCGGCAGCGTCCCCGCGTTTGTCAAATCACCGATTTTAATATCCGCTGCTGAATTGTGGGCCTCTTCATCCTTTGCGTGACAATGGGGTTATTTGATCAGGCAAGTAAACCAGGGGCAAAGCCCCCCCCGCCCCCCAGAGAACTGCAGCATTGAGCGGGAGGGAAACGTCGATTGCCGTGACGCGACGGCATCGCTTGCGTTCGTATCCCTCGAGTTGTAACGTTGCGTGGGGGGGGGGGGGGCTGTCCGGTGGGTCCAGGTGGAGAACCTCACCGTGGAGTTGGAGGACCAGACGGCCGAGCGGGAGACGCTGGCGCTGCAGACTCGCCGGCTGGAGCGGCGCGTCGGGGAGCTGGAGGCTGAGCTGGAAACCGCCATGGCGGAGCGCGACGCCACGTTCAAGCAGCACAAGCAGCTAGAGGTGAGCTGCTCCTGGACGTGAACCGCCGCCGAGTGAGCGGCCCCTGGGCGCGAGCCGCCCCGGGAGCCTCGCTCCGTTCCCCGTGTTGTTATTGTTGTTGTCACCGTTATCACCGCCGCGCAGGGTTTCACGGTCGCGCCGTACAACGCCCTCCGAGGCGTTTTTGGGTTGTGCCGCGTGTTGTTCGGTCGGCATGGTGTCCGACGTTCTGGTCCACGTGCTGGGCAGCTTCTTCAGGAACTGAGTTGAGCAGCTCGTGTTCTCTCTCTCGTGCCGAACAACACGCGGCGCCACCTGAAACCGGTGAGCTTCTTTGATCATTCACTTTTTCATCCAATCCACTTAACATTATTTTTGTGTTACTCTTTGGTTTTGCACGGTTGATACAGTGAGCAGCGTGCAATATTATATATACAAAAAAGATTATGTGCCAACCCTACTAATAATTTTAGTAAGCTACAGCCTTTTGTCAGTCCACTGCTGGATCAAGGCCTCTCCCCCCATACCTTATTAGCCATGGGTTTTTTTTTGCCATATTTCACTACGCTGGTTGGGGAATGGCGGGCCCAGTTCGTGTATCACTCGCCACTGATGTTAGCCGTGGCTACGAATCAGACTCGAGCCACCAGGTTGGATAGCGCAGTGTGCGGCTTACTGTAGCACTGTCTCTACCCCCACCTCTCAACCCTCCGAATGTCTGATGCAAATTTGACTTAAAATGTTGGCACACAATGACCCGCCCTTGTGAGTGATGCTAATGGGATTTATTGGATCCACAAGTAGAGTAAACAGATGGGAACATTGCGCCCACACTAAGGCACACCACGTGTTTGTTGTTGTTCCCGGAGCACATTATCATCGGGGTGTTGAGGCTATAGGGTGGCTTTCGGGTCAGCATGCGGTTGCTTGAAAGCCATCCGTGTACTGAGAAAAAACGCGTTGCTTCAATGTTTCAGTCGCTCAAAGTAGTTCGATCAAAATGTTTTTCTTTCTTCTTCCTCGTATGAACTCGGATCGACGTTCGACTCGAAGGCTCTCACATTGCCTCCTGCCTAATTTCCGATGCAACGTGCACCAAATCGTTGAATCGGAACGCTCACAGCTCACGGCCCCTTGTCAGTGCGCTGCAGAATGAAGGTCCCCTCGACTCGCTGTCAGTCATGAGGCTTGTTCGGCCAAACCTCGCCACACTCGTACGGCTGGGTGGGTGAAGGTGGTTGCCCAAGAGCAATGCAGATGTCACTCACCGCTGGATGTTAGCCTTAGGCGGGAATCGAACTCTCGATCGCCGTGTTCGTTAATTCGCACGCTAACCACCGTACCAGCGCTCCGCGCTAAACATCTTATTGCCGACACGCACATGCAGAAATCCTGGTGCAGATTCAGCAACGCAGCACCCACACGTGGCTGCGAGTTGATTTTTTTTATATCCCGTGAGACAACGTTTGCTCACACGTTGTGCAACCAATTTTTGACACCCGAAGATCGCATCGCTCTCCGCTGAAACAGAAGAGCGCGTAAGGCACACGTTTTTTGTGGCACGCGACAGCCGCGTGCATCACCTTCGACGGATGAGGTGTAAAAATTTAATTTCGCGGATTGCACCGGGCAGTTGTATAGAGGCGGTTGTCATGAGGCGGTAATCCGTGGTCAGTCCACTGCTGAAAAAAGGAAAAATATATTATTGGCAACGTTTCGGGTAATGGGCCTTCTTCATGGCACATTCCGTTTTACGTGCAACGAAGGAGGGCCCTAGGCTTCTCCCCGCACTGACCAGTCTGGGGAATTAAAATCAACCCCCATGACCCACACACACGATCGAGCAGTGCTACTATGATGCTGCTTTCGTAGTTACGTGACGATTTTGGTCCCTCGGCTGTGAAGGGCCCCTGCCACAGAAATGTAGAATTTCCACCACTACTGGCTCAGGGCTTTAAACGGACATTAGCAACATCCCCCGATTGATCGCACGGAGCAACGATGTCTTTTCACGTCGAAATCTTTGACTGAAGCGGGAAAGTGTGCCGTTAACCCAGTGTTCTACGTAAAAACAAAAGCATCCTGCATTTTAATTGCGCTTTTAAGAACGACTCTGCTCTTGACAGGATCGCAACAAGGAGCTGGAGATGGAGTATGCCGAGCAGTGTGAGAACCTGGACCTCATGATGAAAAAGGCGAATCGCCTCCGTGAGCAGGTTACTCTCCACCGCGCTTCACCAGTGCCGACACGCGCACACACGCACAGAGAGGGAAGACCGCTGCGCTGCATCGCCAACGGTGAACGAATTGCAGTTGCCGGTCAACGAGAAGAACCAGTTGCACAGTCAAGATCGTCGAGATACATGGGCACGCATCGTGGTGCACGGTTAGTCGATTGGCAGGTCACGCGTGCGGCGGGGTAAAGTTGTGAGCACCGCCACCTCTTCCGAGAAGTCTGGACAACGTGCAAGAGGAGGCCCAAACACCCGTTAGTTAGTGGGAGTTCCAAGCCCGCACTGTTACCTGTCAGAGTGCATGCCTGTGTCTATAGCGCCACGGTGGCGAGATGTTAATTACCTCGCCTGGTATACAGGAGGTTGAAGTTTGTATCTTCTCCCCGTGGATGCGTGAATTTTTCTCCGGGTCCTCCGGCTTTTCCCTCCACATTTAGCAACGTGCTTTTTGAGTATTTGGCTGCAATAAAATTCCACATGACAAGCCACTTTGTTGAGCGAGCATTTGTTGCCAGATCGCTTCTGAAAAAGAGTTTCATAGCTCAGTGGGTCTTACGTGGCAAATTTAAAAAAGGTTTAGTTTAGGTATCATGCTGCATGCCTATAGACCAACAACTTGGACGTGGTGGTATTGATGGATTGCACAGAGCTCAGGCTAACAAGAGATACCCACTGTAATATTTGCTGCGTGAAGATTTAGCGTTTTCACCCTGCGTCAGTGAGCATTCCCCCATGCACTGCAGTTTCATCTTGCTTACAAAAACACTCCAAATTCCCCAAGGTGTTGAGACTCTTGAGCACTAAGAGAGTCACAAGCCTCCTGCGCCTCCTGGGTATGGATCACTTTAAAAACGGGTTGGATCTCCCGCAGCCAGATCTTTTCTGGACCACACTTCGATCCATAACTCTCCCACGTACAGCTAACTCCGTGGTGTCTTATAGCTCGCTCGGTGCTGTCCTTTAGCAGGCCCCAAAGACATTCATGTAATTTTTAGCGGTCGTCTTCGGGAAAAAGACAACCGCTTGTGTTGCGATCGAAACGTCGTAGTTTTTTGTTATTTTCTTTGAACCTATCTACGTGACTTTACCGAAAGACCCAAGCATATGAATTCCTGCAGTCACGAGAGCTTTAAGTCAAGATTCATGAGGAAATTGTTGCCCTTCCCCTGCACCGCCGTTGAGCACGGTTGGCTACGTGCAGAGCGAAAGAAGTTTCAACGTACATACGTGCATAAAGCCCAGCGATTGTAAAGCGTTAACAGTGAAGTCTGGCTCGCGCTAAGCAAGGGCTGCTCGTGCTGTCAAGGCTTTAACAACAGCCGTTGTCAATCATCAATCAATCTAACATTTATTATAATGCGCCATTATCAGCAATAAGCTGCAACGGGAGCACGGATGGCATGGAAGTAAAAATGAAACTGAATTAAACTCACGCAGCCCAATGTAACATGGCATTTATCACAACCGATTACCGCTTTCGAGAAATAGCCCAAAGCAGTCATGTTGGGTTCATCGCTTATGCCGGTGTAATGCTTAATGTCCATCATCACTTAAACCCCGTGAGAATTATCGGTCATGTTTATGAGTGAAATATATTCCGGAATATTTTTGACTTATTGTAATTAAAATAAACTATAATTAAAACCGCTGAATATGGCAGTTGGGTCATTTAAAAATACCACGATGTAGTATGCCGAGGGCCATTTTTATAAGGTTTAAAAACGTCAAGTAAAAAACGTGGGGAATGATCTGTAGAGCCTAAGAAGCACTGAACCGATGTACAAAGTTGTTAGAACACTGACGGATGATCACTTTATAATAGATTCAACCTCGTTAAACTAAGCATCCGCGTCTGAAATCTGTTAAATTAAAATAAATAACCCACTCGCCCCCCCCCCCCCCCCCGCCATGGTAGCTAGAATCAAATTATTTTTTTTAACTGCACATTTTGTAACTTTACAACCCACTGAGCAAGTTACACACACGTGTGTCTTATTTGCAGAGAGGGCCATCGTTCTTAGAGTTGTGTGTGGGTTTTATCCAAAGTGCAACTTAAAAAATAATTATCCATGTCTTTTAAACAAGAAGGTTCTATTATCATACCAGATGTTCACATTTTGCACTTCCTAATGAGACACAATTGAAAGTGTTAATCGTATTCATTTGGCTTTTTCGTGATGAAGCGGTTATTTTTCATGTGTTATTTTCGCTATTTACCACGCTTGCTTGAGGTTACCGTTGGCATTTCAAGTTGTCGCGCTCATAATCATCATGAATAGTATCGTCATCCATAATCCAGCCCCACTGCTGGTTGAAGGCCTGCCCAAGCCACCACGATCTCTCGTGGCCTTTCGTGATGCAACAATCCAACTAGCAGATAACAACACGAGCTCCTCCGATTAGCGCGGTTGGATACGTACGGTGCGAAAGAAGTTCAATATACATACGTGTACATACGTACGAGCTGATTCCATTGCTCCCATCGCTACGGTGATTGTGCTCTCGGGCGTGTGTTCACTTTTAGCTGCCACTCCATTACTTGAGCAAACCTCTCCTGGCCAAGCCCACTCGCTTTTTATAACATTCAATATGGTCAACATGTGGATTATATTTTAATCAGAATCAGAAGTTTTATCAGAATATGTATTTATACTGGAGGAATCCGATGCTCTTTTTCACGGATGTCCAGCAGGGGCTAGTCAGAACGTGACAACAACAAACAGTGCAAAAGCACGATAGAAGTGCAAAGTATATAAACATATCTACAAATCAAAGTAAACTATTTTTGTCTGACCAGGTAAAGCCCACTGAGCTATTAGCTTCTTTTTCAGAAGCGACCTGGCCACAAATGATAGCTCAACGAAGTGGCTTATCATGTTGAAATTTATAGCATCAATTAATTGAAATAATATAGACGCATGTTTCTAAATTTGGAGGGAAAAACCGGAGGACCTGGAGAAAAAAATCCACGCGACCATGGGGAGAACATGCAAACTCCAAATATACAGGCGTCGGGGGCGGGTATCGAACCCACGACCTCCTCCATACCAGGCGAGGTAGTTAACATCTGGCCACCCCGGGACCCCACGCACATTCTGCCCAGCGAATCGACACCAAAAAGTCTAAACATGAATTGGCAGAAATGAGATTTCCAGAAAACCAAAATGTGTACTGCACACACGAATTGGGCTGCACAAAGTTCAAAAGTTCAAATTCCAGCCATAGTCCATAATGCAGCAGGGGTGAGTGAAAACGGTCAACCCACCTGCTTAGGCAGCACCACCTGGTGGGAATCAAACGGTGAGTGTCCTTGCAAGCAAAAGATCCTCGCCACGTTTAATGGTAATTCAGTTTTACATAGGGTCCTTCGTGCCAATTGCATCTCACAACGCTGTACCAATAATTATATGGGTTGGCCACATACGGTGCGAAATAAGTTCAACATACGTACTTACATATGGATAGTCACAATTTATGTATGCATGCATGTCGAACTTCTCTCGCGCTTTACGTAGCCAACTGGCTAACTCCTATCCAAAAGTTATCACAGCAGAGGTACTGTTAACTACCTCGCCTGATATACAGGAGGTCGTGGGTTCGATCCTGACCCTGACGCCTGTATATTTGGAGTTTGTGTGTTCTTCCTCCAGGTGCCCCAGTTTTTCCCTCCACATTTAGAAACATGGCTGCTATAAATGTCCGCATGATAAGCCGCTTCTGAAAAGAGCTAAATAGCTCAGTGGGCTGGTAAAGTAAAAAAAAATCGTTTTAGTTTCAATTACTGCGCCAGCCCACCACCACATAGATACACGCATTATAAGTAGCATTGTTCTAGCTTTTATGTTTTATTTAATCATTCATCACTCTTGCAGTGTTTGCGGTTCCGATTATCTTGAGTGAACAATAATGTAAAGTTATTGACGTCATAATTTTTCATCGCAAGGTTGACTTTTAGGGAGCGTAAACATTTATATTTCTCGACAGCGCATAACTATTATTGCGGTATTATCTTTTGTCTTGTGCATGGTACATTACTACTGCTATTAAATTATAATTATCATCATTAATTTAAGTTAAATGTGACCCCGGTGGATAGCATTAAAGTATTACTGTGTTTTTTTAATGCTTTAAAACCTTTCACGTGACATCTCCATTCAGCTGTACACAACTCACCTCCTATTGAGGCGAAATAATCATTGAATCATGGGAAGTGATGGACAGCGGGTAATGAACGTGCCTGGCTGTTGTCTAAAGTGCCACCGCTCTCTGATGTGGTTTTAGGCTGTCCTACGTGTTGATGTCTGACATTTTTCCGTGTGAAAATCCTACACAGTAGCCAAAACACTATATTTCAACCCACCCAAAGTTCTCATAATTACCAATCATTTGCAAAATAGACCGCACGCAACTGAAGCTATACCGTTGGGGGTGGGGGGGGGGTTTGCTAAAAACTTCAGAGGTCGAGAAGCACCTGGTCTACAGCTCACCTGGGGTCGTGTCTAATGAGGTGCCCATTTCCTGCGCCGCTGTGTGCGAGCAGAAGGAGGAGCTGCGTGTGGAGCTGGAGCAGAAGTGCGTGGACATTGAAAGCCTGAAGAACGACAACGCGGCGCTGGAGAGACAGGTGACTTGTCACGCTCAGCCGATGCCTACAGACACACGTCTAGCCCTGGAGAGACAGGTGACTTGTCACGCTCAGCCGATGCCTACAGACACACGTCTAGCCCTGGAGAGACTGGTGACTTGTCACGCTCAGCTGATGCCTAGAGACACACGTCTAGCCCTGGAGAGACTGGTGACTTGTCACGCTCAGCCGATGCCTACAGACACACGTCTAGCCCTGGAGAGACAGGTGACTTGTCACGCTCAGCTGATGCCTACAGACACACGTCTAGCCCTAGAGAGACGGGTGACTTGTCACGCTCAGCCGATGCCTACAGACACACGTCTAGCCCTGGAGAGACAGGTGACTTGTCACGCTCAGCTGATGCCTAGAGACACACGTCTAGCCCTGGAGAGACTGGTGACTTGTCACGCTCAGCCGATGCCTACAGACACACGTCTAGCCCTGGAGAGACTGGTGACTTGTCACGCTCAGCTGATGCCTACAGACACACGTCTAGCCCTGGAGAGACTGGTGACTTGTCACGCTCAGCTGATGCCTACAGACACACGTCTAGCCCTGGAGAGACTGGTGACTTGTCACGCTCAGCTGATGCCTACAGACACACGTCTAGCCCTGGAGAGACAGGTGACTTGTCACGCTCAGCCGATGCCTACAGACACACGTCTAGCCCTGGAGAGACAGGTGACTTGTCACGCTCAGCCGATGCCTACAGACACACGTCTAGCCCTGGAGAGACTGGTGACTTGTCACGCTCAGCTGATGCCTAGAGACACACGTCTAGCCCTGGAGAGACTGGTGACTTGTCACGCTCAGCCGATGCCTACAGACACACGTCTAGCCCTGGAGAGACAGGTGACTTGTCACGCTCAGCTGATGCCTACAGACACACGTCTAGCCCTAGAGAGACGGGTGACTTGTCACGCTCAGCCGATACCTACAGACACACGTCTAGCCCTGGAGAGACAGGTGACTTGTCACGCTCAGCTGATGCCTAGAGACACACGTCTAGCCCTGGAGAGACTGGTGACTTGTCACGCTCAGCCGATGCCTACAGACACACGTCTAGCCCTGGAGAGACTGGTGACTTGTCACGCTCAGCTGATGCCTACAGACACACGTCTAGCCCTGGAGAGACTGGTGACTTGTCACGCTCAGCTGATGCCTACAGACACACGTCTAGCCCTGGAGAGACTGGTGACTTGTCACGCTCAGCTGATGCCTACAGACACACGTCTAGCCCTGGAGAGACAGGTGACTTGTCACGCTCAGCCGATGCCTACAGACACACGTCTAGCCCTGGAGAGACAGGTGACTTGTCACGCTCAGCCGATGCCTACAGACACACGTCTAGCCCTGGAGAGACTGGTGACTTGTCACGCTCAGCTGATGCCTAGAGACACACGTCTAGCCCTGGAGAGACTGGTGACTTGTCACGCTCAGCCGATGCCTACAGACACACGTCTAGCCCTGGAGAGACAGGTGACTTGTCACGCTCAGCTGATGCCTACAGACACACGTCTAGCCCTAGAGAGACGGGTGACTTGTCACGCTCAGCCGATGCCTACAGACACACGTCTAGCCCTGGAGAGACAGGTGACTTGTCACGCTCAGCTGATGCCTAGAGACACACGTCTAGCCCTGGAGAGACTGGTGACTTGTCACGCTCAGCCGATGCCTACAGACACACGTCTAGCCCTGGAGAGACTGGTGACTTGTCACGCTCAGCTGATGCCTACAGACACACGTCTAGCCCTGGAGAGACTGGTGACTTGTCACGCTCAGCTGATGCCTACAGACACACGTCTAGCCCTGGAGAGACTGGTGACTTGTCACGCTCAGCTGATGCCTACAGACACACGTCTAGCCCTGGAGAGACAGGTGACTTGTCACGCTCAGCCGATGCCTACAGACACACGTCTAGCCCTGGAGAGACAGGTGACTTGTCACGCTCAGCCGATGCCTACAGACACACGTCTAGCCCTGGAGAGACTGGTGACTTGTCACGCTCAGCTGATGCCTAGAGACACACGTCTAGCCCTGGAGAGACTGGTGACTTGTCACGCTCAGCCGATGCCTACAGACACACGTCTAGCCCTGGAGAGACGGGTGAATTGTCACGCTCAGCTGATGCCTACAGACACACGTCTAGCCCTGGAGAGGTCGCTGCAGAGCATTGCATTCTCTCTAAACCTACCCTAACCTTAACCCGAACTCTGACCTGCTCCCATTATTTGATGGTTTGGCTAATCGTCGAAAAAAAAAACAGTCGCTGTATTGCGCGCTTTCAGATGTACTTCTGCGGCCGTCTGGAACGCCCTTCCTTCTGATATTAGGGAGCCGCTGGAGTTCTGCACTTTTTAATCTAGATTGAAAACTAATTTATTTTAGAACTGCTTTAGTTTGTTGTCCTTCCCTCGCACCTTCGCTTAGCACGGTTGGCTACTTACGGTGCAAAAGAAGTTCAACCTACATACGTAAGCATAACAATAACCATAGGGAGATCACTAAAAGCTTCCTAAATCTACCACAACTATTAACAATAAACCTACCATAACCCTAACCGTAACTCGAATCATAGCTCTAACCCTCGCCCATAACTCTAAACAAAACTATAACCTTTTTTCCATTGTGAGATATTTACACAGCACTGAAAGTCTCCTAAATCTACTGCAACTCTTACGACAGACCTACCGTCACCCTAATCAGAACTCGAACCGGAGCTCTAAACACACGCGGCTTCACAACTCTAAACATAATACATGCATGTGGCTCCGGGCCAGTACTACAATTGGCGAACAACTCGGAGGGTTGTACTTAGCAGACATTATTAATTAATGAGGATTAAATAATGTATTAATAATGTATGAATTTGCGTGCGTATGCACAGTTGATTTAGATAATTTTTTAAATAATCTCCGTGCATTGTGAGTTTGTGTGCGTGCGTGCGCGCGCGCGCTTATGATATACGCAACCTTTCACCAGTGCTACTCGCTAACAGCACTTTCCCCAAGAGTCTGTTAAAGGCTCCACGAGGGATCTCTGTCTTTTTAATACACGAGCACTTTTGTCTGCTGGTTTTCCAGTAAGAGGGAGGTCACGTCGAGTTTAGCTGCGCTGTGTTATGGGGTTCCCACCACCTAGGTTCAATTCCTGGCCGTGCACATCGCTGGCAGTCCATGTCCGAGCCAGCGCCGTGCATGTTTCCAAAGGTTAAAATTAAAAGTAATCGTGGTGTTTGTAAAGTTTTTATTCTCCGTTGGCAGGCCCGAGCCAGTGGTGGAAATTCCAGAGTCTCTCCGCGAGAGACAGCCCATTGTTGACTCGCACATCAATACATTGTGCCTCAGAATTCTAGATGTGTAAGTAGGTCTTACTGGATAAGACTTTCAGACATTTAAATACGCAACCGACGTAGTTAATACTTTGAATGGCAGTCGGCGTGTAACGTACACATGCCGTCAATTTTGTCAGTGCACTGCTGCATAAGAGTCTCCCCATGCCCTGTGGGTTGCAAGGCTCATTGCACCTTACTTCAGCGTGTTGCACAGTGTGCGTTGGTGAAGGCGAGGAGCATAGACGGGGTGGGAGGGGGGCGGTTATAGTACAGCACAACAATGGATTTTGATGCACCGCCCTCTGCTGCCCACTGCTACCCCCCTGCGGCAACCTATAACACCTGGTATGCACGGTAGCCAGCCATCCACGCACTGCCCAGGCTCTACAAACGCCGCTTTTTATGATCCTGAGATGGGAGCAACGTCGGCCGCATTTCCGAGCGATTCGCTCCGAGGCTTTGATGAAGCACGACGCTTGGGTGGGGGGGGGTGGTTATTCGTCTTCACCCCGTCCTCAGAATGATGACCTGCGGGGCCGGGTGTCCGAGCTCCAGAGCCTGGGCAGTCCGGACCAAGGGGCCCTCCTCTGCGAGCTGGAGGGACGCTTGCGTACCCTGGAGGCTCACCTGGAGGCCACTGAGAGGTACCTCCCGCTCTCTCCACGCGCACCTTTAACACGGCGCCATACACACAACAATAATAATTACATTTTATAAAGCGCTCTTAAACAATCGTACTCAGGGCGCTATGCATGAAAAGGCGGAAATAGTTTAACATCAACCAAGGAGAGAAGAGGTGAGAATGAATAAGTCAAGAGATAGAAAACCATTTCAGACGGATACATTTTCAGTCGACATTTGAATATTTTTAAAGTGTCTTGGAAGTCCTCGCCTCGAAGGGCAATGAGTTCCAGACTTTAGGTGCCGCAATTGCACAGGGATGATCACCCCCAAGTGTGAAGCCTAGAGACCGCGGTGACGGTGAGAAATGCACAATCTGAGGATCTTAATGATCCTGATGGAATATATGGGTGAAGGAGGTCATTAATGCAGGGATGAGCAAGTCCATTTAAGGTCTTGAATACCAGCAAGAGAGTCTTCCAAATTAATACGGGTACATGGAGCCATTGAAGGGACAAGAGCACAGGTTTCAAAGTTTATAAAATGGCTAAATTCATATCGAGTTGAGCCACCTCTTAGTGCACGTATCCTGTAAAAAAATCCCCATTATTCATCCTGTTCATCTGCTCTTCCTGTTATCTGTGTCCCTCAATCGATCGAGCGGCAAATCCATCCAAATAATCTGTGCTTACGTCCAGATCGTAATCCGACCAATACTTGACCCAGACGTGGACTCCCACAATTATGCCATTCATCCTGTTATCTCAGCAGGAGGAGTAACCCGGAAGTGGTGGCATATCCATCCTATTACCCACTATCATCTGCGTGTCTGTGCGTGGACAAGAGCAGGGAAATAGGCGGATAATGGGATCCGCCAATGCTTGCTCCTCGTGCCTGCATGAGATAAGAGCTGCGTGTTCATTGGTGAAATTAAAACATTTAAGTCCTTTTGGGAGATGGAGGCAACGAAGATTTAAAAGCCACTGACTCAAGCAAAGGAAGCCATAAGACAAAAGGTGTCTTCTTATCTCGGAGAGAGGTCGTTAATATCTCGCCTATCTGACGAGATGTTAACTACCTCGCCTGGTATGCACGAGGTTGTGGGTTCGATCCCAACCCTGACACCGGTATATGTGGAGTTAGCATGTCTCTCTCCCCGTGGTCGCGTGGATTTTTCTCGGGGTCCTCCGGTTTTTTTCCTACCCTCCCCATTTAGAATAAACATGCGTTTAGATTGTTTGGCTGCTATACATTTCCACGTGATGATAAGCCACTTTGGTGAGCTATCATTGGTGATAACCTGGTCACTTCTGAAAAAGAGCTATACAGCTCAGCGGGCCTTACTAGGTAAAATAAATAAGCATTAAAGACTATAATAATAAAATAAAGAACATATGCTTGCGCATGAACAGCAAGGAGATTGTCGATGGTGCCCGAAAGTTCCGCTTGTGCCCCACAGGGAGAAGGAGAAGCTGCAAGCGGAGGGCCGCAGGCTGGAGGAGAACGTGGTGGACGTGACGAGGCGGCTGCAATCGGAGCGCACGCAAACGAACAGCGAGAGGGAACAGGTGTGCGACGGGTGACCGGGACACGCTGTGGCAAGGGGAATCGTCGGCACTCTCACAAGGCCGGGGTCGCATTGAGGCGACGTGAATACTGTGGTCAGCACGCTGAGAGTTGCAGTCCAGAGGACCCGCAGTTCGATTCGATCTTCAGGCACAACGGTTGGCACAATGGTGGCAGAAATCTTAAAGCTCCCCCTACCGTCTCCTCTCTCCGGAGGGGCCCTCTTCCCACCCAGCGGTATACATTTGTACACCACAGTCGAACGGCAGGTTGCGAGTGGTGGGGTAAAGTGTGGGGACTCCGATGGTTTTTATCCGCGAAAACATGGACAGGTGGGCCAAACAATGCCCTCTTGATTGAGGGGCCTTCTAGCTTCCTCTTGTCGAGCCTCTTCCACCAGCACTAGTGTGAACAAGCAATTCCAGGACTGCACCTTTACCATGGATTTCATGTAATTGATGCTTCTGTTCAGTAATCATACAGGGGCGGTTAAGAGAAGGAGATGAATGGATATATTGGCTTGGAAGGCCATGTTCTTATGGAATATTGAAACTACTTTATAAGTAGTTTCAGTGAGGGAGGAGTCATCATGTCTGCTTTTGTATGGGCTAATCTTCCACAAATCAACTAGGAGAGACATTTCTAATTCTTGAATACAGGTGCAAACAGGGTGTAGAATTCGGTGGAAAACAATTGTGAATGTAATCGGAAAGAGGAATGTTAGACGGGTAGGGCAAATGGAGAGCTGGTTCCTGAGATTGGCACCGGAGTGGCGCTCAGAGTTTCGGCCACTTCGGGGGGAAATACCGCAAGGGCGAAGCTTGCGGTGTCGGTTGTCAACTTGGCAAATGTTTTGTGATCGAGCAGCTAAAGGAGGAAAGGAGCAATGTCCGAGGCGTGCTTCGGTGAGTAGGCCAACACCGCGGCGTCGCACCGTTGCGCGTTATCGTTGCCTCCAGGTGAAACAGCAGCTTTGGTCGTTGAGGCAGCAGGGCGAGGAGAGCGAGCGGCAGCTGGAGCACGCGTTGGGCATGAACAAACAGCTGCAGCACGAGCTGAACAAGCAGCGCTCCGCCAACGAGGGTCACCTCGTCGAGCTCGGCGCGCTGCGGCAAGATCTGCGGTAGGCCACGCGCACGTTCTGTGCCCGTTCGCGCACGCCCCCCCCCAAACCTGGAGACGTAGGGGGATGGTCAGCTCGGACGAAATGACGTGGAACGGAGGTTTGCAAGGGAGGATGGAGAAATGCACGCCGGGAATTATGGTGCGAGAGAGGGGAGCGCGCGGATCAGAGAACAATTGCAAGTTGGAGACATCGTAGCGACTGTTGAGAAGAGCGGGTGGGCTTGGGCAGGACACGTCTCGCTATCAGGGATTAAGCAGATGGATAAAATAGTTCCCCTGCTCAGAGACTTTTGTACTTAATGCTACTTATATAATCTGTTTAAATCTACAAAACCCCCCCGCAAAAACTCTGTAATCCTAAAAGACAACAGTCATATGAAGTGCATTCTCTGAACGTCTCTCGCTAAAGAAAACACCCGAAGCTGTCACGGGCGCGGTTAACTCGGACCGTTGCTGGGTAACGACGACGTGGACATCGGCGACGATCTCGTAACGTCAAATATTTGTTCCCCAACAGCCAACGGGCAGCCGCGCCGACGACGCGGTCGGGGCAACCGCTCCGCTCGTCAAGTTTCCCGTCGGAGGCTACCGAAGACCCGTACGCAAACGACGACTCCGACCTTCCGGTTGCCGTCTTCTGATTCGCCAGCAATCGAGCGGCCGAGGAGGGGGGTGGGGGCGGCCGGAGGTCAACACTTATGATGGGTGCATTTTGTATAATTCAAGCTTTGCTGGGCGAGGCGTTATATTTGATATAAAAATCTGAAAAACTAAAATCAAACGGGTTCCGTGCTGCCAGCCGCTTTCCGCGTGTCAACGCTTTGCCACCGCATTGCACAGCAATGCAACGCGAATGATTGCACGGTTCTAAGATGAAATACTCGTCGCGCGTCTCTTGCGGTCAGGCACGCAGTGCTAGCGCTTGACCTGCATTTCACTTCACTTCGCTGGCGCCGTGCATAAGCATCGCCGCCGTAACACGCAACGCATCGCACGTGCGTCCAAAACGTCCCTCCTCCCGTGTCGAGACGCACGACGTTTTTTGCACGTCCGTGTCACACAACAGCCACCAGGTTTCGTCGCCAAGGGGTTGGACTGTGCCACTGGGTAAGGGTCTCGGGAGTTGAGCCCTAGAACGTAGCGAGCCCAACTTTTTAATCGTTTCGAGTTGAGATTCTAGGTGTGGGGCAGAGTGCGTGATGTCCACACTTGTGTGACCAACTATTCCAGTTGATCGGTCCGACTCTTCCCGGGTATGTGCAGGTTGATTGCGATCATCACAGATGGTTGGGCACAAAGTTTCGTGGACATCACACACGGCTTCAGACTCACAATTATGAATGCATTTTAGTAATATGGTAATGAAATACTAACTCTTTAAATGCAATTATATTATGACTTAAAGCTTTCGTGACTGCAGGAATTCATATTCTTGGGTCTGGTAAAGTTGTAGATCGGTTCTATCTACAACTTTACCGAAAGACCCAAGAATAACAATGGTATTAGTTTTTCTTATGAACAGCACATGAACAGTAATTATGAATAAGACTGCCACTGTAATATGTGAACTGTTTTGAAATTGTATATGCTATTTAGTTAAATCTTTGACCACAATTTAGGCATTTTAGTAACCCATATTTGTTGCACCATCCTATTTTTTTGCACCATTATAAATGAGTATAAATGAAGAATTTAGATATAAACACATCACTGTGCAACTATGTAGGTAGAACAAAAATGTAGTACAGTACTGTATTAACCTTAATGAGAACTTAATGTTTGTTTTTTATCTTGAATTAAAATGCCGATATTATTTGTAATCTGCTTTCTCCGTTTGAAATATATATTTTGATAAAAAAAATGTTTAATTACACATTAAAGCGACAGCTGTCTGATGTTTAAAATAAAGATGTTTGTTCCTAAACTGCTTGTCAAAAACAAACCCCGTCCACATTGTTTAGATTTCAAGTGAAATATATGTCTAATTTAAAACTGTCTCCTTGTCAGCCTCCTGCCACATGTCGAAACCTGATTGGCCGTCGCTTTGCCAATGTCATTGTCAGCTTTGAGAAAGTCCTGATTTCATTTTGGACATGTATCTTGATAAGTCCTTAATTGGTGCTGGCACACGCCTGTAGTCCGGCACTGGAGGTGAGGGGGTTGGTGGATCACACAAATGTGAAATTCCCTTCCCATGGCCACCGAGGTGCCATACCCTACCTCACCAGGAGATGTAAGTAAAGCAAATATGGACTCCATCTGTATGGGATAGAGCAGGGGTCGCCAACTAAAAGAACAAGGGCCATTTTTTTCGAATTCGGTCAAAAAACCTCTATTTCAAGAGCCGCAATTCACGCGAATAATGTCACGAAGCGGTCGTTAAAGAGCCGCATGCGGCTCCAGCGCCGCAGATTGCCGACCCCTGGGATAGAGCATTGCCCCCTCGCACGCGTAGGTTTTCTCTGGGTGCTCCTTGTTTCCTTCCTTCCACGTCTAGAACGTTTAATAGTTGCAGGACCACAGAGCTTGGGAAATTATTGGCACTAGCTCACTGCCTGGCTGCCTTCCAGCTTGTCTGCAGTCCTTCTCTTTGAGAGTGAGAAAATATTGTGTGTATTAAAAGCTGAAATTATATACATTTATTTACTGGTTAATTTCCCAGGTCCTCAATTGTGAGTTTGATCTCATCCCAGTCACAAAATACTGCGCAAAAACAATGCAAATTTTCCCCCTCTGAATTTGTCCTAGGCCAGCCGTGGGATCTGAAATATATCGTCAACTCAAGCACAAATTAATGTGTTTTACTCAGTATTGCTAAACCACATAGCAAACGTGTGTTACATTTCATTCCTTTGTATTCTCACCGCATAATGTGAATCCTGCCAGGTGGCGCTATGGGAGAGCACTTGACTTACGATAGAGGCACTCTTCGCCTTTTGGCGTTCTCTGATCTCACACTGGTGCGACAAGCCCATAAAAGAAGATTATCTCTGATGTAGGCCAATACTTTTAAAAACAATTCATATTATGAGAGCATGTGTATCTTCGTGTTTTGCCACGTGCGGTTAATGCAGACCTACTGCCTGGTAATAGGTATCGCTATTACTGGTAGGAAACGTAGTGAACTGGAAGCCCAACCGGGATTAATTCACAGGAGGCAGGGGATTAATTGTGTATGTCTGTGGATGTCTGTCCACGTGTATCCGGACATTCGGATATAAAAAATGGGAGGGGTGGGGCTGGGTGGAGAGGGAAAGGTAGGGAGGGGCTGGGTGGGTGGGGAGGGGCTGGGTGGGGAGGGGAGGGTGGGGAGGGTGGGGCTGGGTGGGGGGGTGGGAGGGGTGGGGCTGGGAGGGGTGGGGCTGGGAGGGGTGGGGCTGGGAGGGGTGGGGCTGGGTGGGGTGGGGCTGGGTGGGGAAGGGCTGGTCACCCCGTGGTGCCCTTATATAACTCAACGTTTAACCTACTCACGGTGGCTTGTGCCCGCCCTCACAGTTGGGCATATTTGCGGAATACACCACGTGCCGCCGTTGACCCTGGCCACTGACCGAGCAACCAACGTTCCTACCAGCCTCCTCCGCAGGAATGTGTTAGGTGTTTGAACATCTTAAGACCTGTGTTATTTCCAGACAGGGTGAAGGGTATTCTTATTTTATCAACTACAAATCATCCCCTTCGAAGCTGATAAAATGAATACCATAATGATAAGTCAAGAGTTAGAGTCGTATGGATGTAATGGCCTCGGTCATAGGAATGTAGAATTTCCATCACTGGCTTCGGACCACCACTAAAGATATGCACCGTCCATGAGCATGCAGACTATCAATTCACTGCTGGATGAAGGCTTCCGCATGCCATATTTGTCAAGGAAGTGTAACCATACTCCAGCACACCATGTCCAGTGAGAACTTGCCCGTTCCATACACACTGGGGTTGCCAACTGTTCTGGTTTGACCCGGACGGTCTGGGAATTGGCCACGTGTTCGGGTGGCAGAAATCGATATCTTCCGAGGTCTGGAGGTATTTGCTTTTAACTTTATTACTGGATGCGGGACTTTTAATCGACCTGGTCTGACTTGAGAAATATGATCAGCGGAAAAGGTGGTAACCATCGTTCCAATATTCAACCTATCTTTAGATATCATACAGCATTGGCTAGTGTTAAGTAAATTAAGCCTTTTGAATTATTGTCATCATCAGCCATGATGAATCCACTGATAAAACTAAACTATACACTAAAGTGCTAAACTATTTTTTTATTTTACCAGCTAAGGTCCACAGAGCTATACAGCTCTTTTACAGAAGCGACCTGGCCACAATTGGTAGCTCAGCGAAGTGGTTTTATATGGAAATGTATAGCAGCCAAATACTCTAAACGCACGTCGATTCTAAATGTGGAGAAAAACCCGGAGGACCTGCAGAAAATCCACGCGACTACGCGGAGAACACGCAAACTCAAATATACAGCAGGCGTCAGTGTCGGGATAGAACCCACGATCTCCTGCATACCAGGCGAGGTAGTTAACATCTCCTAGCCACCGTGATGATGATGAGACACGCAAACTCCAAATATACAGCAGGCGTCAGGGTCGGGATCGAACCCACGATCTCCTGCATACCAGGCGAGGTAGTTAACATCTCCTAGCCACCGTGATGATGATGAGAGAGAGACACGCAAACTCCAAATATACAGCAGGCATCAGGGTCGGGATCGAACCCACGATCTCCTGTATACCTGGCGAGGTAGTTAACATCTCCTAGCCACCGTGATGATGATGAGAGAGAGAGACACGCAAACTCCAAATATACAGCAGGCATCAGGGTCGGGATCGAACCCACGACCTCCTGTATACCAGGCGAGGTAGTTAATATCTCCCAACCGTGGTGCCTTGCTGGACGAAGGCCTCCAATAGCAGAGCTATACATAAGGTCACTTGTTTTTTTTTCCTCAATTCAAACCTTTAAAAGTTAAATTTCGATTTAAAGCTTTCATTGCCTGCAAGGATTCATCTTCTTTGGTTCTTTCCGGTAAAGTCACGTAGAATGATAATAAAATAATAAATTGATAAAATAAAATAACACAATAAGACCTGATGAAGGCCGCTTGTGTTGTGGCCGAAACGTCGTGAGAATTTTATTGTGTTATTTTATTTTATCAATTTATTGTTTTATTCTCATTCTACGTGACTTTACCTTTAAAAGTTAATATCCAATTCCCCACACTTTATATTAACTTTGGTTTGTTTTGCTCTCCGATAACATTTCATTGATTCAGTCACATTTTCAGCCTGCCTCAACATCTCATGGAAAATGTGTACATCTTTCAAAGATAATCACTTGCGGATACAATGAAGCCCCAACAACATCGAGGGCACTGGATGCCTTCATCTCACAGTAGATTAGTAAATTATTAACAAGAAATCCATTGCTCTTGCTACTTTCCGATGCATCTAAAGTTCAAAAGTTCCAGCTTCCTGTTCTCACTGAAAATATGACATTGCGAAATAAATCATTAAACATAATACTGCATTAAAAATATACAGCTATTGTTTTTTTTCTTCCAATGGCTAATTTTTCTTTATTTTCGATGTTGCTGTATAGGATGAAGAATAATGCTCATGTAAATTGCACGAAATTGCTTGTGGTTCTATACGCTCACGTTGGCGAGGAGAGTTCAGAATCAGACTCTTTATTTGTACTGGAGGAATCCGATGAGCTGTGAAGCTCTTTTTTACAGATGTCCAGTAGGCAATTGTTGAGTGACGTGTGGTTTTATTCATATGCACTGAGTGTACTGAAAATGTGTAAAAAAACAATGCGTTTCTATTAATAGCCCAGTGGCAGTAGTACAATGGGCATATGTTGTGATCAGTGCCGGATTATCCTAGTAACAAAAATAACATGTTACGAGCCCCGCACTTTCAAGGGCCCCACGCTCTATGACTATAGTACTATACTACCTTCAACCTTCATGAACGACTGGGTGTTTAAGGTCAGCGATTTGTCGTATTATCTGGCTGTATAGCAAATAAAAAAATATACAATTACTTTACCATGCAAGTTAAACATTTGTGTTTTAATATTTATTTGCTGCTTTTTTATTTCGGGCCCCTTTGTAACATTTGCTCCGAGCTTAATCCGGCACTGGTTCCGATATAATCGAAATGCCAAGTCCCATGCAAAGGGCTTAGAAAAAAAAACCAGTTGGGTGAGGTCGGCACAATCCTTGGGCTGACGTATTCTCCTCGGGGCCTGTCACAAAATATGTGTAAATAGGTGCGCGTGACATCATTGTGCATTACGAGCCGGCCCGCCACTGCAGCTGCCACGACTGCTGATCCAGAGCAACTCGAGAGCAATATATATGTGTGTGTGTCTATTATTGAAACAATAAATTATCGTTCGGAATTCACTCTGTTGGCATCATTTGGTCCAACTCCGTAGCAGTTGCGCGGAACATATCCCACGCGAGTCATGGCAAGTCCTCGACTCGAGTTGAGCTCGCTGCCGAGCGAGTGCCCCCTTCAGAGGTCTGGCTCCACCGACTCGGGACTCGACAGCCCCACGCAGGACGACACGGAGGGCACCTACGACCCGTTCGCCTCGCCGGCAGCAGACGAGGCGGAGGAGGAGGAGGAAGAGGAGGCGGGGGAGGAGGAGGATCCGTCGTGCTGGAATATCGATGACCTGAGCGGGTGGCACGGGGAGGAGAGGGACATGCAGGGGTTCAGCCTGCCAGCACGGACTTCGGATGGCAGCATTCCACCGGCGGATGAGCAGAGCGACCATCGTCCAGAAGTGGTGAGGTTCCATATGGACATGAGCTACGGTCGCCACATCTGATGGTTTTCCCAGGAACGTGTTCTTTTTTAGGTAGCTGCTGTCCTGGGAAATCTGTAATAATACACCACTCATGGCAAAGCGTCTTACATGGAGTATCTCTCCATTGCCTGCTGGTTCTTGTGGCATCTCTGAGGTGAAGTGAAGACTCAAGACCACGCCGTTAAATGATCAAAGATTGTCCTTCGCCGCACTGCGGATCAGCATGGTTGGATAAGTAGGGTGCGAAAGAAGTTCAAACATACGCTATCTTTGTTTCTACATACGTATCTTTACACGATCTCCTTTTTTAGATGATTGTCAAGATAAGGCGCTCGTTTTAGAACATTACGATGTGAAATGTGTTTTCCGACGTCTATGCCGAAGGCATGTCTTCAGTATATTGTACAGAATATTATTGTATTATATATAGTGTATACACTATATTGTCTCCAGGATATTTAATATATTCAGGTGATAATTCTCACTTTACACTGTGTGCACATTTACTCGGGGTTGTTGTGACTCTTTCTGAGTTGGTCAAAAAATGAGTTAACAGTGTTGCCCAGACGGTCTGTACGACGTCTACTGAGCCTCAGGCCTTAGTTATGTAAAATTAAAACCATTAGCTCAGGACCACAATTTGAGATAAGCACCACCCATCTTTTGCTTGAGCATGGATAATATATTATGGAGACTTTTACATAATAATAATGATGATAACAAACATTGTTTTCGAAATGCCTGGATATTATTATGATTCCATGGATCTGGTTCGGAAGATGCTTGTCGTAGTTTCAAGCGAAAGTCTGCACACGGCAAATATCAATTTCTGCCTCAAATTCCCAACCCCGGTTTTCCCCTAAGTGCACTGATATATTTCTTACAGTATTAGTTTGCATTCGACAAAACTCTGGTTATTGTAACGTCCATTAAATGTATCCCTCGGGATGCCAGTTTAACTCCTATCCCTCATGACATTTCACATCCTCTGACAGCTGCTCACTCTGCCATGCAACATTATCCTGAGCAGTTCCTCCGCGCGCACTTCTCTCGTCACCCCGGCAGTAATGGCAACACGCACACCACTCCACAGGACACGTCGGCTTGATCGGACGACGCCCATTGGCCAAGACTAATAATGGAGTGGCAGCCAGGGAAGAGATGAGCGATGCAATGAGCAGTTGTTTGGTGGAATATTGCATCTCAGGATCACGAGAGGTGACGGTGGCTAGGGGAGGCCTACATCCAGTAGCGGATTGACCATGGCTGATGACAATGACCGCACACTCCTGCCACCTCACCTGTTATTTCTTTACTGTCGTTTTTAAAAAAAATATCGCTTTGACTATAACTAATTTTCCCTATCTCTTCAGTTTCCTCTCTTCGCCGTCTAATGTTGCACGTTGATTCTGATGAGTCATACCAGTCATCGCTGCTCTGGCTAAACTTTGACGGACCTCCAGGGCTTTTTTAATTCTTTGAACATCCTGTCCTGCTGGTTTTATCTCTCTGTTCTTCAGATCGCTTTTTTTTTCATAATTCTGTTTACCACGGTCCTTGCAATGACGCTCCTTGTTCGCATCTTCCATTTCATGCCTCCTTCCAATAACCAATTCTACCCTGGTTCAGTGTCGGATTCATTGTCACTGCTTTTTCAGATCTTCCTTCTCTTCCCTGACAGCCATCCCCAACATCACCAGACTTCGTGGCTTCTTCAGTTCAAACATTTTAATATATTGTTTTTGTTTTTCACTGTCACATAAAAAATATATATACAATTCTTGCCGCTATCTCTGGCGCAGCTGTCTTAAATGCTGACCTTCGTTTTTGTCACGTTTAATTGCATGGTTTTGTAAATCTTGCAAACACTGCATATCAAGCCACGCACCATCGCTCCATCAGCCACGAGTCACTGACGACACGATGAATGAACAGAAACCGTCAGGAAACTGACGCGGTTTCACCAATTTATAAATCTACGGTTTTTATTCAAACTGCATCAGTCCTGAGGTGAGTTTGGGACAACAACAACAACAACAACGAACAACAAATTGCTGGCATTCAAACACAACTTCCGAAAATGTGAGAACGACCCTACCGATGGTGCGTAACACGACGGCGTAACACCGCCTTCGTAGCCTTTCAATCGCTACTGCCGCTGGAGCTGCTGCTGTTGATGATGTTTTTGTTGCTGTTGTTGTTTTTCATTTCCCCAAGCTCCAGGCGCCGTCCCGCGATGCGCGTCTCGGCGTGAGCCGCGTCGCCCAGACTCCGTTAAGTGGGGGCCCTGGGATGCTGCTGCACGCAGCTGCCGCTTGCGAGTCTGAGTCGTGGGGCCGAGAGGCACGGAGAGCTCCCATCGCCTTTGGGCCCGACGAGCCCGATCCCACCACCTCTGATGTCGGTACGGTTCCGCGTGTGTGTAAAATATGTATACATATAGAATAAAATGTAACTTCTAATGTTCAGCCGTGAACGTATGTCATAGGGAGCCGGTGAGGTCTGCTGCGACTGGCCCAGGTCGGGGTTAAAATGATAATCTTCACGTCTTGAAGGTCCTGGAGCTGTGCGCCCACGTGCACCGCGATCCGCGTGCACGTTTCGTTTGCACGTTTAACTTCTCTCGCACCGTGCGTAGCCAACCGTGCTCAACGGAGGTGCGGGACAGCAGGTCGCAACGCCTGATTGTGCAACCCAGCCGCAGACAACGTTTTGTCGCTTCATTGTTTGCCATAGTTCATCGGTGTTCGAAGTGCTCGCCATGGCATTGTACGATGTGGCACAGGATGAGGAGGAGAGGAGACACAGGGATTGTAAGCCCCCAAACTGAAGGCATGACACACGAAGTAGGCTCGATTCACACAGGTGTCAAATGATTGTTGAGTGATCTGCTAAGGCATTCCCATAATCTCTTTGGGGATGTTGGGGTCTACGATACAGTACAGTGATTGTTATTCGCCCTGTATCTATTGTGCAATAATTGTGGTCGGTCTGGTATTGCTTTAGAGGCGTATATCCGGCATATTAATAATAGAACACATACTTTTTGCATAATCGTAATGGTATGGTCATACAGTGAATGAAAATTAACAACAGTATATTTTATTTCGTATCTATTCTGAATGTATGCGATGTCTCTTTCATCCCTAGTACCCTTCCTGAAACAATCTCTATCCTATAGCTCTTACATCCCTTCTGAATATCCCTCGTGTGTCTTTACCACCTTATCCACCGTTTCTAAATATCCCTCTCTCTCTCTTATCTCCCGTCTGTATTATGAATACAGCTGCCACGTCACTTCTATCTTCTGAATATGTCTCAATAGTTTACATGTCTTCAGATATATCTATTCATCTCTGTTGAATTTTTTTTATATCTAAACTAAAACTAGACTTTTTATTTTACTAGGTAAGGCCCACTGAGCTATATAGCTCTTTTTCAGAAGCAACCTGGCCACAAATGATATATGCATGTATGTTGAACTTCTTTCGCACTGTATTTAGCCAACCGTGGTCATCGGAGGTGCATGATAGCTCAACGAAGTGGCTCATCACGTGGACATTTATAGCAGCCACATACTCTGCACGCATGTTTGTAAATGTGGAGGGAAAAACCGGAGGACCCGGAGAAAAGTCCACCAGGACATGGGGAGAACCGTGCGAACATTGTTGCAAGTAATATACACGTTCAAACTATACCACCTGTACAGTACCTGATGTAATATTGGTTATTACATATCTTCTGAATATCATCACCGTCATGATCATCAGTCATGTTTATCCACTGCGGGATGAAAGCCCGCACTCCGTCGCCATCCCTCACAGTCTCGCGATGCCATAATCCACCTGGTTCCTGCGTGCGAGCGAATCTCATCGCTCTATGCCTGCGGTGGTCATCCCTACTGAGGTGCCAAATCCCTCCCCGGGCTGTCATTCTCTCACCAGTCTCGCCCACCGTCCATCATCCCCTTGAGTGACGGCTCCTAACCCTCCCTCTGCCCGCCCACGTTACGATGAGTCTCCGATTCGCGCACACGTTCTTCCGATCCGCACATTCCGCTTATTGTTTCTCTTTTGAGTGAACAGTTTCGGCCGTCGTTCCATGGTCACTGTCAGTGGCCATGATTTCCGGTCAAATCTGTCGCAGCAGGTGCGTTGTTTGCGTCGAGGCACATTGCTGTCGTGTTGATTTTCATTTCAAAAACCCAATTTTTCCAAAAGCACTCAGACCTATTCTCGCTCCCCCTCTTCATGTCATCCTTTTTCATTCTGGTCCAGGAAATATAATAGAGGCTATATATTTGTTTTTCTTCTTTGGTTCTTTCGGTAAAGTCACGTAGAATGAGAATTAAATAATAAATTGATCAAATAAAATAACACAATGAAATTCTCACGACGTTTCGGCCACAACACAAGCGGTCTCGTCCCTTCACCTGATGAAGGCTGCTTGTGTTGTGGCCGAAACGTCGTGAGAATTTTATTGTGTTCTTTTATTTTATCAATGTATTATTTTATTCTCATTCTACGTGACTTTACCGAAAGAACCAAAGAAGATGAATCCTTGCAGTCACGAAAGCTTTAAATCGATATTTGTTTTTGTTCATTAATTTATGTACTTATTATTGTGTCTCTAGCCCATGGCTCTTAAGCAATACAATCGAGCCATCAGTTGAGAACGATTGAACTCCCCTGATGTAAGCAAATATTCGGTTACTCGTAACAAATTGTAATTCGATGAGGACAAGTTCCCTTTAAGGTCGGTGCGTGTGTGCATTCGCTCGTGTTATTTTATATTTATAGAGAGCCTTGGCTCAAGGCGCTTTACATAGATAAAAAAACAAGCGGCAAGACAAATCAAATTAGATGGCAGGGGGGGGGCAGTGCAAGGGCCGATGAATGAATGACCGTAACAGAAGGCACACGTGGTGGGATTCACGAAAGGGTTATAGGGGAGGGACGGGAGGGAGTGGAGGGGCGAGGAGAGAGTAAGAGGAAGAGAATGAGCAGTGGAGACGAGGTGAGAGAGGAGGTTCAGGAGGGAGCTGCTTCACGCACGGGGAAGTGGAGTCGGGTGTGCAATGTTCCAATTACCAGTGCCATGTACATTACATTTACACAGTCTACAGTGTAGTGCAAGACATTTGAAAAGTGTGCGTGTGTATTTTCTGTCAACAGATGGCAATGACCAGGAGAGCAGAGAGGATGCAGATTCACGCCTGGGATCACCGATTACCAACTCCAACACGGACGTAAGCCACCCAACGCAGTATACCTTCAGAAAATATATCTTGACATCATCTGCTGCTTTGCATCGTTACCATGTGATTGTCGTACACTTCCTTAACAAGCATTTTACTTGTTTTAGAATCACCGCTCAACCAGCCCTGGTGTTATTTATTTTCCCGAAGGCAATCGCGATAGGATTGTAATACGCCATTGTACGCGTTTAAAGGCTTACAATTGTACAATGCGCTCTTCCAACGAAAGGAAAGGCCTTTCCGCTGAGTGGCTGTACCAGATAATGAATACAGCACGAGTAACAAACCTCCTGACCCTATTACTAGACACTCCCCGGTAAACACGGAACGTCGGCCCAACGCCGCACGTTTACTGGGACACGGCTTGGCCCATGCATTCACGCGACCGGTTCGCTTGCACTTGGTTGGCTGTGGAGTTGTCAACGCAGACATCTCTCGGAGTTCCCCCGGGCGTGTACTCCTATCTGGCTCCGATGCCAGGGGCGAGTGCCTCAGGTGCACGCTCCCACTACCGCAGATTTGGTTGTTGTTGTTGTTCCTGCTCCAAACGAAGTCCTCATATTTGAGAAATAAGAAATTGCTTATGTAGCTGCTCCTCTCTCGTTCTGTCAGACGCGTTCCAATTTCTTGGGCTGCCGCTCCATCACGAATCTCAACCAGCGGTCATCGTCCCCTTCTAGCGACGTGTCTTGCGCAAGACTGTTCGCTAATAACAGCACGTGTCTTTAACCTGCGTTCGTTCTGAAGTCGATGTTTGCCTTGTTCTGCCGCTGAATGTAATTTGAAGCACGCGTCTCTGCACGCTTCTTTCGCAATTTTCAGATTTTTGTTCAATTGCTTTCGTTGTTGTTTCGTTCTGATCTATATGTCATCGTCGTCAGCCATGGTCAATCCACTGCTGGATGGAGGGCTCCCCAAGATGTCGCCATCTCTCACGATCCTGCGATGTAATATCTGCCTAGCACCTGCACACAATCTGATTTCATTGCTCCATCTCCGCGGTGGATGTTTAGATACAATTATTATTATTTACAGCCCTTTATCAATCCACTTGTGGATAAAGGCCTTGCCATGCAGTGTCAATCATGGGGGTTGTTTCGTCATACTTCACCGCGTTGGTCAGTGTGCATTGGTGAAGAAGGTAGGAGCAGGACCAATTCGGATACCGCTCACTACTCTTAAACTACTCTTAAACAAGATGGAAAGAACACAGCATTGTGAATCTGTTCCAAGACAGTTGTCATCCATACCGCAACTATACAACAATGGACATTGTGCACTAATGCCCATTGCACATTGGGATCCGAGGATGGAATGCGCATTATACATTTTTTTTAAATTAATAATGGTTGTGAGTAATAATATGCAATCATGTTTAGGACAGTTGTTGGATGTGTGACTAATTGGTAGTTTGTGAGGAGACTTATTACACAAAAAATTGTTCAGTCCCCTTTAGCCACTTATTCTTTCAATGGGATGTCTCACAAACTGAATCTCAAACGTCACACATCTAATACATGTTGACGGTCTTTGCTTAGTGATTGATGTAAATTGTAATGACGTTATAGAGGCCTTAGTAAGATGGCATTTGGGTCAATTTTAATAAAGTCTATGCTTATAAAGATGAAAATACAAAAAACAAATAGGCCCCCCCCAAAATATTTGTTTTACTTTTTAGTTTTTTAGAGTCTTAATAATGTTTATATCTGGAGCTTTTTTAAGGGTGTTGAATCCAAATATGGCATTCATAAAAAAAAACTGCTTTGGATCCTCTAAATTTAGGGGGCAATCGTTTTTATTTGGAAGTAACTTGGGCCTACGATCCTTTGATTGTTAACTATTTGAAGGATGCTGAATCCCAACGTGAAATCACATTTGAAAGACTCACGTTTTTAAGTACCTTTTTTTTAAAAAGCATTACGCGTGAGCCAATACAGAGTGGGCAAGAGCCACAACTGGTTGCAATTAATAAATAAAATAGGTTTATTTGCAAAAGTCACACCTTTTATAGTTTTTGCGATATGAGGACGACATGCTGCAAAGATATGTACAAGCATCGGTTATTTTTCTACTGACACGCGTCTTTTCTGCCACAGCTCCTGACTGATAGTGGATTTGTCTCGGCTGTGGATGCAGAGAATTCCGAGGACTCGGTCTCTGAGGACACCAACCGGTCAGTACACGCCTCTGTTATCTTGTTCACGGAGCCGGCCAATTTATTGCACAGTATTGTCAAATTAAACATTCAGACTCTGTCTATAAAATAACCAACATTGTTACGTAATGTGTGTGTTGTTTCATAACAAATATATTTCACGATACCTTAATGTAGAGTCCCGGAGTGCGTCGTGGGCTAGCCGCCGATGCCCGTGAGTACCCACTGTGTGGGTCACAGCTGAGTGGTTTTAACGGCTTGCCATTGGCTTGTGGGTCAGCTCATGACGCGAACATGATGTGATGGACATGACCCCTGACCCGCACCAAAACGTTCATCTGTAAATAATCATGCCTTTTGGCGTCTTCTGGTCCAACACCAATGGAGACTAGGCTCTAGGAAAAGCCGTCTCGGGTGTGGACTAATCAAATTCAAGGACAGTGCATATTATTATCAGAGTTGTCTTTTTTGTTTGCATTTTGACTGCTTGTGTTGTGGTTATTGCAAACATGATGCCTTGAATAAAGGTGTCAGTTTTTGTGCCAGTTTAAAGGGTAAAACCTATCCCTATAATTAAATAATAGCTTTGTTCCCACCCAGAGCTAAGGTCACGAGGACTACCGCTCAGCTATTACTCAAATTTAGGTGTTTCCCACCCCCCCCCCCCTCACAATGAAAGATGCAAGATTTTTTGTTAAAAGTTAAGCATGCCAGATCTGGCTGATTAAGGCAATTTGATGTTGGGTGTGCGCAAAATTCCTTGCGTTTAATCGCGTAAGCTGCCAGCTGGCAATATGCTGCAAATGCCACACTCTGGAGTGTTGATACGTCCCTGGAATATGACTTTCGCTGGAGGCAGTCAATTTTGGCCAAATTTGTGCATCCCAGCATCGCATTGCTCACCTACTTCTGCAGGCATCGTCATGGGACGGCCATGGTGAGCCAAGCGAATTATGATGCCATTTAACAAATTCACACGTCAGAAAATTCAAGGTAATTGTTTGATTTTTAGGGCTCGGTCTTTGGAGCCCAATCCATCGCCATAATTTGAACGATGTTGGTTTTTTTGCCGTTAATGTTATTTCGGCACCATTAAATAACGCCGAGAGACTGGCGGCAACGTTCGCAAAACCCAATCGGGAAGAAAAAAAATTCTTCTCATCCGATTCTGCACTATCCGTGCTTTTCCTCTTCACCTGTGCGTCCTGGCTGATCTCTGCACCTATTAGCCGTGCGCTACATTCTTCCAATCATCCGAGCTTTTGCGCAGATAAAGTCACTCAGAAAGCCCCCCCAGTTCGAGTGAGAGATTTCCTGCTCGGACGAGCATTGAGGCGGTGCTCACGCAGTACTTGAGCCAGTGGGCAAAATCCCCCACTCCTATGGCAGGCGCCGAGTACTGTAGAGGGGACTCCTCTACTTACGAACGAGTTAGCTTCCAGAGGTCTGTTCATTCGTCGATTTGTTCGTAAGTACAACTTTACTCCCGTCGATTCCAAACATGTTGTAACGGTGCGTACACTAAACATGGGGAATGACTTTAAAAGTTGTACCATCTCCTGTAGATGTAGGTGCCACTGGTTCTTCATGCTCTGCAGATGCCACCACCGCCATCTGTTGCGCGGCGGTTGAACTTACGACTCTCGGTTCGAACAAACAACTGGACATACGGACAGGTTTGTTCGTATCTCTGAAAGTTCGTAAGTCGAATGTTCATAAGTAGAGGAGTCCCTGTAAATCCAACAGGATTGTTAATTTCCCCCCTACGAAGTGGTATCCTTTTTAACACGAGGTGCAAGCAGGGGGGGGGGGGAGAGATGATCGGCTGACGCAAACTCCGACCAGGCTATTCAGAAGCGGTTGCCTAGCCACCGGTGAAGGACAAAAATATTTCCATAGCGTGTGCCTCGCTCGCTCGCTCAGCGCACGCACACGCGCACACGCACATGCACGCGCGCGTATCAGTTTTCACTCGCAAACAATGGCAGCTCAAGCTTGGACTTCCCGACTTGTCCCTGCGATCCAATCCGCTCCATCGCAATCCCACCTGCGCGACACCAGTTGGAGGGAAAGCCAGGTGCAAGGCGTTGGTAATTGCTCTGCCTTTGTCCAACAGTGGGTATAAAAAAAGAACACTTGACCCAAGTGGACACGAGGCGTCTCGCGACGCAATGCGGTTTGGATTCACAAGATTTCAAAGTGCAACCGAATCTCCAGGAACACTATGGACGATCGTCACGGTGTCTTGGTTTACATCCATTGGCTCTTTAAATATTGTTTTATGCGCTGATTGAAAACTTTCTTCTTCTTCAGCCACACCGGTTGGTTGCTTTTCCTGATGTTGTTCATTTTTACAAAAGCACTCCGCCCTGTTTTTTATTCTGCTCTTAATTTCATCAGTTTGATCCCGATCCCGCCGCGTTCAATCATTACATATTACCCGATATGATAGCGTGGTTGGCTAAGTACGGTACTAAAGAAGTTCAACATACATATATATGATATATCGATTAGTAACGTGGACACTGATATATATACTATAGAACAGAAAATGAAAAGTCCGCGAAGAAGCATGGAGAGGTGCATGCTTGGTATTACACTGAGAGACAGAAAAGAGGAAATCGGGGATCAATGCGAATCGGGGACATCGTATAGAATGTTCAGGAAAGTAAGCGGGCTTGGACAGAACACAGTACAAGAAGGACCGGTGAACGAGACTGGTGATGGAATGGCAGCCAAAGGACGGAAAACACCCAACGAGATGACCACCACGGGGATGAAGTGATGAGGGGATTTGATACGTATGAGTGAGATTGATTGTGACATCAAAGGTCTATGAGGGACGGTGATGGAAGAGTAAGGTCTTCATCGAGCAGTGGATAGACGATGGCTGATGATGACAATGATGCCTGTATTAGCCCATCAATAATGCTTTCTGAATCTTATAAACACGTGCTATGCGATGTCTCAATGGGCTGTCACCTGGTTGCCCTTGACGCACCGGTTTGATTATTTCCTTGACAGTCGAAAGTGCATCATTACCTCATAATACCGCATCTTAAATGTAGAACGTTTAAAATCCACGCCAATGGGACTGCAGCAGGTTGTGCTTGGTATTGCGTACTCGTCTTGATAGCCCTGGGGGTCCTGCCATACTTAAGGGGGCCAGGGCCTTTTCAAAGCCACCTTGCTTCATAACAGACGGCACGGGTTGGCGATTCGATGCACAAATCGCCGAGCCACTCTGCGAGTCAGACCTTTGAGTCGACGCAAGCCGGGCTTGGTGGCGACCGTGCTGATGGCCGTTTCACCGTGGCATCATCCGCCACGTTCAGGGTTTTAGTCAGAATGAAAGTCGGTATCTCGGTGCTCAGGCGAGCGTCTGGCAGTGCTAATCCCCCCCCCCCCCCCCCCAATGCTTTATGCATAGAACGAGTGCTGCGGTGGACTCTTTCAATCAAAAACCTGGAGGGGTGGTCACTGGACTGAGTCTATCCTCAACCCTGAATTGAAACTCCTAAACAACAACCGCCAATCGCCACTAAGTGGCGGTGATGTCACCACGTCGCTTGTACCAGACTATGTGCACTTTAAGGGCACGCGAAGTGTCGAACGCCCGCTTGCAGGAGGTCACTTGACGATAGAGGTGCCACGGGTTGACTGAGATGACTGGCAGATGCACTACCAGACACACACACACTAGCACGTGGATACATAAAAACAGACACAAAGTAAAACGTATATTAATCTCCCCCAACCTTCACCTCTCTAACTTGAAAAATAGTTTATTTTTCCTGCCAGTACTGTATCATGAACCATACAATCCCCATGACTGAATGCTCGTGCGTATCTCTTTTTTTATTGCGCATCAATCGCTACGCACAGACGCGTCGGACGTTTCGCGTGTGTGGAACAATAACATTGGGGCACACCTCTGGCAGGCCTCGATCGTGTGAGGCTTCGTCATTTCTCTCTCGGCGAAAGTGTAAACGTGGTGCGCTTTGCGCCCGCTGCTGTCCCCACGCACGATCCGGTTGAACGCAACGAGCGGCCCCGTCACTCTACCGTTGATGGGGGAAAACTCTGCCCGCTCTAAATAAGTAACGACGCAGCTCGGCTGTCGGGTTATTGTAAGCGCAATGATGACGGCGCCTCGATTCATTTCAGCACCGCGGCCGTTTGTGGCGTCTCGAGTCCGCTTGTGTGCGCGGCTGCTCACAGCTCCGAAGATCGCTCACCCCGAGCTGAGTAGTAGTCATGGTTCTGTTTTACTACGTGCAGTCTTACAGCCTCGCGGAGAACGGCAGCATCGGGAGGTTAGGTTTCGAACCGGCGCGCTGTTTTAAGACGCACGCATTTATGTGACTTTGTGTCCCTTAGAGGTAAAGTAGTATATATATATTTTAAATACTACTACGACGTTAAATGTTTTTTTTTCATAAAAAATATAAAAGTCGCCAACGTGTTCAAAGCTTAAACAGAATAAATGTATGCATGCCTGATGAGTGTATCTTGCATGCCAGACTATACTTTTAAAATGTGAATGTGATTTGGATGCAAGGATGTTGCTAGAGAGCTTCGTTTGTGCGGAAATGAGGGGGCAATGGTCCGTCTTGGTCGTTGGCGCATCGGCAGCCTTACAGGAATGATCAAATATTCACGATCAACTCAGCATTACAATACAGTGCCACCGCAAATCGAGTTTTTATATAATGTATTTTAACAAATGTTGCTCGGTTAATTGGGTTTGAACTTGAACCAAGTGTGGCACTTCAACGCAAAGTACGGTCATGCGTTGTTGCACTTTGAACTTCTTACAAAACCAAATACAGGACTGAACACAGAGTACATTATTGAATACAAAGTAAATGATTGGTAAATGCCGATCTTTTTTCTTTTATTTTCTCGTCGCAGGTGTTCGAGAGAAGTGAAGAGACTTTCACTCTACAAGGTCAGTTCATTTGACGTGAGCGTCCCTGTTTCCGTGCGTGGTTAGGAAAGAATGCATCATCATCATCGTTATCATCGCCAGCCACTGTACAACCTTCAGGGTGGCTCAGGGGGAATGTGAGCAGCTCCCGATGGGAAGGTTGCGCGTTCAAATCCTAGCTGGAGTTGGCTCAGCCCATCAATCCTTCAGAGGGTCAATAAAATCACGTAACACTTTGTGGGGAATTCAACAGCGCTTGTCCTACGGATAGCCTGGCCTCCATCATGGGAATGTGGAATTTCCACCACTGGCTCAGGGCTGTAAACAGAAGATGAGCACTGCCTCAATGCTCATTTGAACAAGAGATCACTTTGGCTTTGTCTATCGGCTGCTGGATAAAGGCCTCCCCACAGGGTCACCGCCGGCGAATCGTTACACCACCGAATCATGTTTTGTGGATTCAGCAGCCTCCCAAAATGTCACGGTGCTTCCGCTTTGCTCAGCACGAGGACCTTACAGTCTCAGCAGGAGACATGACGTAGGCCTCCAGCCACTGTGGAGAAATCCCCGCTCAGAACGAGGATTGTCTCCATCTGCAAGTGGAAATCAATCCTCCCAGCAAACTGGCACCAGGATGCGCTCACGAATGGCGGGGGGGGGGGGGTCAAGTGGAACATTACCAGCGGGGGAAGTTTACACAACACCAGAGTCCACGCCGCTCGCTCGTGAGTTGAATCCTAGGTGCTGTGCAAACGTTCATGGAAAGGAGTGCATGCCACTCGCTCTGTGCTTCTCCCACAAATGCATTGCATAATTACATGGTTTATAAGTTAGTGTTTACTCACGCAGAGTATTTTACAGCTCAAATGCTACGTAATTAATTGAAGTACATTTGAATGCGGCCTCGCGCAAATGTAAAGAAAGGTTTTAAGAGTGCAACAATATAAACACATTTGCCTACCTCAGGCTATGTGCTCTCTCAAGATAGCCACTTGCGTGCATCAGATGTGCAGCCTTCGCCAAGGTCGACGGGTGTGGTTCAGGAGTCACGTGAGTTGCATTACCGCAGTCTCCCGGGGGGAAGAAAAAACAACCCAGTTGACTCGATCACGGAGCCCCGACTCGGCTCCGGGCAGACGAAATGAGAGTGTGATCCAACTGCTGTAGCCCACACGAATGCTCCAAGTGGCGCATTAACCCGCAGTGCTCTTTTCCGTCTCAAACAACCTCGATCCCAAAGCCACGTGGTGCTCGTGGTGTGTGAGCTACGCCGTTGGCTGTGACGCCTGCCATCAAGAAGTACGCTCGCGAGAGATGTAGGTCTTCTTTGCAAAGTACATTTCAAGAACGCTCGCACTCAATGGGGAAGGTATAGACTGTCATATTTATCTCGTAGCAGTTCACAGGAATAAGCATGGAGCACAACGTTAATTCCAATTTGCGTCAAAATGTTATATTTTACCCGCAACCATCCGTTTTAGGGTTCATTTCCAACGCCACGCCCGATAAGCCAACGGCAGCGGGTGAAGGACTAAGCCCCATGCTTTAGAGTCACTAATTAACTCAATCACACGGAAGAACATGAAAGGAATAAGCAAGTTTGCATAGTTTTGTATTATAGCACTTAATAATTTATTATCATAATAATAGTAACAATGATCTCACTTTGATAACTGCGCATTGATGAATGTTGGCACAGCTATCCGGATATAAATGCGATAAACAATGGAAAGGAGACAAGCACCCAAGACAAAAACGTGCGAGGCAGTTACAGTCAACGATGGTTTTGATTTATAAACGAGTTTTTGCGTAACTCATTTTACAGTGGTTGAAGTGGAGACCTCCAGTTCTTTCCCCTGGGCAAAGTGCAAGCCTTACCAAGTAACCAAACCAGCCACTTGTGTTCGTCTGCAAGCCTACATTGAGATCTGCAGTTAAAAGAAAACTAAATTTATCGAAATGTTAATTATCGTAAAAAGGATTATTATGCCAATTACTGAATTTCTGTGTAGGTGCGTAGATTAAACGGCACGTCGTGTCACGAGAAATATGTTGTGGCACGGAAAGTGGCACGTAGGGAAACGATGTACGAGTCGTCCGCTTCATGAGTGTTTTATTTATTAGTCAAAATCCAAGTTGTTCCCCGGCTCCGATAAACATGGAGCAGCAACAGCAGCACTCGTCTTTGCTGGTAGCCCTAAATCAGTGGTGGAAATGTCACGTGCCTTTGGCGTGGTCTTTTGTTTTTGTACATTGTGTATATTTTGTGTATTTGTCTGTGTATATTTTGTGTATTTGTATGTGGGGAGCGGTAGTGTAGCGGTTAGCGCGAGGCGATTACAACCCCGGCGGCCCGCGTTCAATTCCTGCTCACGGCCAACACCAACCACCAGTGACGATTATCTAAACCGGTCCTGGGCCCTCCCCTAGGTAGACTCAGCCTCAAATGAGTTCCTGGTGCGGTGTGTAAACATCGCCACTGGGGAGGCAAAGGCGACCGAGCATAGTGCTTGCCACCCACCCCCTCGTGTGCCGTGCCAGCGTTCATAGGTGCTCATTAACAGCACTTGCCCCAACAGTCTTTATTTGTCTTGTATGTGTCTAAATAGATATGTAGAATTTACATTCTGAAAATGTGCAGTACACGACACTTCACGTGAAACATCAATTAGTCGTTCCAAACATCGTTACAGTCCGTCACGTAAGCAAATGACGTGCATTGCTGTTTTATGTAAATCACACCAAAGCCGATATTTTCACAGCGGCCACAGGTCATGCGTGATTGTTGTTACGTCGAAAATGAGCCGTGAAGTCCGCAGCTAAAGTATGTGCAATGCCCTTGAGGGCTGGGGTGTTCGACATAGCTGCAATACTTGAATTGACTGTCTGTCGTCAAACACCTACACCCTTTTAAATCATAAGCACGCCCTGTTGCTCAAATTCACTGTTGAACTAAAGCAATTAAAGCGCACGACGTCTCGAGACGTATTGCCAAGAAGCGACATGCCAAACCTCCAAACCAGTTACAGTACATGAGGCTATGTATCACTCTAGAGGTATGCATTCTTCTTTTACGCTATTTTCCGTGTTAGGATTGGGACGGCTTAGTTTTATTTCGATGTGCTTGGGTGGTGATTTGTTTACCTTGTACTTTGCACTGCTGTCATGTTGTTTGTCTCGTTTGCTGTTGTAACTTTCTTACCCGCCCCTACTGTACACCTGTGAACAAAAGGCTTTATAGCTCATCGGATTCCTCCAGTATAAATAAACATTCAGATTCCGATAACGTGCGGCGGGCAGGCAGCTGTGGTCGAGACACGTCAAGTGCTGTGCGTTCGTTGCACTTATAATCGATAAAAGCATTTGAAAATTGTTCCACCGATGCTGTTTTTTTTTTTGGAGAAGCACGTGTGGAACTTGCCGGCTTCGCTTGTACGCGAGCTCAGACTTGCGGGCCCCAGCACTGGAGTGTGCGTGGAATGAGCAGTAGTGGGCACATGCCGCACAGGGTAACGGTGGTTGCGTAATTCAACGCGCTGCTGCGTAGCCGGGCCGCGGTGTTGTTTTCAGACTGTCAACTGGACTCTCTCATCGGCGTTGTCGTCAGACACTCAGCCCACGGGCTGAGTAAGAAACACAGCATTCTCTCGCCAACCGCGGAGGGGTTAGGTTCCTGGAAAAGGTCACGGTAGGCAAATCCGCGATTGCTATATTACAGGGCCTATGAGACATAGGGGGTTAGGGTAACCACGGCCATGGTCAGAGTCGTCATAGCTTAACTAAGTTGGATGTCATTTTTGGGGGCAAATTTGCCTGTAAACCTCGTGGTGGGTTTTTTATTGTAATACGTTAAACTAAAATGTGAGCTAAATATGTATTATTTTGCTGACTACTCGTAGCATCAGAACATCACCAGGCCAATGCTTACATCACCTCCTTCATGAATGGAAAATTTAAGACAAGCCACAGCATTCCGATTGTGGCCATGCAACCCAAACTATGGACCGCACAGTAAACCACTGTAGTAGTCTGCGCTTCTTCAACGGAGTAGGAGGGACAGCAAAACGACACAAACTCTCTTCTGAAGCCCTCTCCTTGTGGCCAGCAGCGGGCCTCGACGTTGACATTTAGCCCCTGAACATATCGCTGCCATCATGCGCAATAATAGACTAGTTGGGGTCCAGCAGTGGCGCGGTGGGTTAGTCCCACATCGCGTTACAAACCCAGTGGACTCATTATGATTCCTCGCCACGGCTAACATCAGTGGCGAATGATATCCAAGCCAATTAGAGGCAGCCTTTTCAGCAGCCAACGCTAACCAGCATGGTGTATTCTGGTCGAACATGCCCCCGCAACTCAGATTAGCACGGTTGGCTACGTACGTTATGAAATAAATTCAACATGCATACATGCAATTGACCTGGGGTAGTCCAGCGATAGATTTACAAAAGGCTAGAAACGCTTATTGTTATTATCAACCCATAGCTATTCTTTTTATTGATTGCTATTTTTGTGACATGAAAGAATGACCATTGCCCCTAAAACGCCACCTGTTATACGTTATCTCTTTATGGGCCGTGTTATGATTCATGTGTTAAATTTTTTTAAAATATTGGTGCTTTATACGCCACTGCTAAACGCAGTTTCACAAATAACCCATTGTTGTTACTGTACAGTATATCAATTATACTCTGTGTTTAACACGGTGTTGTGTATACAAGTTTAAAGCACATTCTAGCCTTGCACAGTCACCACGCCCACCCATGTTCGTAGCTTTTCAGCACTTTGCCACCCGCAGGATATATTGGTCAAGCAAATTCACAAACTCCCAAGACAAAGTGCGAGCGCTCTCCTCGACATGTAACCAAATACCGTCTCTTTTAGTTGCCTGTAAATATCTAACGAGCAGCAGCAGCAACAATGGGAGACTCATAAATAACGCTCGGCACAAAACCCGGCACGAGCATGTACGTGCGGCACGTAGGACTTCTTTCGCACCGTACGTACCCAACCGCACTTATCCGAGGTGCGGCAGAGGGTGGGTGGGTGGGGGACAGCAAACACAACGCAAAAGCAGTTCGAACGAAATGAGTTTTTTTATCTCGATTTTTTTGGGAGCACACAAAAAAACCTGGCGAAGTTTCACCAGGGACTGCAACAATCGCCCATCGTCAGGAATTCACTTTCCATGCCTCGTACCACCCCACCCCCCGCCCGACTCCCCGCCTGCCTGTTGCAAATTCTCTCAGCGCGTTTTCTGTTCTCTCTCGATACTCGCTCGTCGTTACTTTTTGACTCGTCGATTGGATTGGTCGCCCAGATTGTCGGCCGTCGCTTTTGGCCGAGACAAACGATTTTGGGGGGCGGGGGGGGGGGCCCGCCGTTGTTCGGGTATGCGCAGAAGTCAGCCGCCTCCGCTGAGCGGGAGCTGCGCTCCGTGGAGTGTGACCGTCGGGACCAGCTCCCCCTGGGCTCCCATGCAGCAGCAGCAGCAGCAGCCTCATCCTCATCCTCCCAGCTAACGGTAACTTACTACGCAGAGTGGCGGCCGCTGGGTGCATACATCGTTGCGGGGGTCACCAAAAGCCGGGGGGGGGGGGAAGGATGAAGGGGGAGGGAAGCAGTTGGCTGTTTCCCATGACCGACCCCACGTGTATCAATGGGGGTTTTTTTGACGCTTAGATTTTGACTTGTATGTAGAGTCTGTTAAAATTATTTCGCACCGTACGTAGCCGACTGTGCCAACCACTCCATGGGGCCTGGCTCATGAGCCGCCGCCACTGATGACACGTGACATAGATATAGAAATAGGGCCCTACATTCATAACCACCCAAACAAAAACGTTCATTATATTTTCTCTGGCAAATGTACATAAAATATAAATTTCGGGAGTTTCTCTCGGACGTGGGTCGTGGGGGAGATTGCCCCCCATCGACAATTTGCAACCGAGCGGAGCTGTAGGGGCCCAGGTAGAGTCGTGGCTGTCGTGTTCATCCCACAGACTGCGGCGTGCGCCGCTGCCCCGGAGACAGCTGCAGGATCGAGCGTGGGATCGAGCGTGGGATCGAGCGCCGGGCATGGGCAGCAGATGCGTGCACGTCTGGCAGTGTCGCCGCTGCGGACGGAGACTCGCACCGACCACGAGGTGGCGCGTCACGTGATGCCCCGTCCTTTACCTGTACACGTACAGCCAGTGCTCGCCGTCGAGCCCAATGTACGTGGAGCAAGTGTCGGATTAAGCTCGTGCGGGGCCTGCAGCATATGCTATAAAAGGGCCCTAAATAAAAAAAAACACGTAAATATTAAAGCACAATTTTTTTTTACTTGTATAGTAAAGTAATTGTATTCTTTAATTTGCTATACAGACAGATAATACGACAAATCGCTCACCTTATACACCCAGTCGTTCATAAAAGTTGAAGGCAGTATAGTACTATAGTAATAAAGCAAGTGCAGAATCACTGAACTGGAATTGATAGCTTGAAAGCATTTAGCGCGAAGCCCTTGAAAGTGCGGGGCCTGTAGCATATGTAGCTACTTTTGCTACTAGGATAATCCAGTACTGACGTGGAGGTATTGGCTCGAGTTGGTTTAATCCTGTCCTAGCGAGCCAACAACAGGAACATTAAAGGTGTGTTGTTGTTGTTGTTTGAAAAAAATTGAAATCGGAGAGGAAGACCCAACAGAGAATGACTTGACAACGACAAGAGAGATTGGCGCCAGAGAGATGTGGACACTACTTGAGCATGGTGACACTACAAGACAGAGAGGAAAGCGGAAAGAACAAATGACGAAATGTGCAGTGGACACCTCCGGGCTATCTGCCCATGGATTGTGATGATGAGCAAACACCAGGGGAGCGATCAAATGGCCCCACCTCGTCAGTAATCTTGCTGATGTTCTGATCAGGAGCTTTTGTGTGTTGTGGGGTAATGTGTGGACACTCCCGCTTCTTCCAAAGACATCTGGCGAGCGTAGAATATTAGGGCCCAATTACTCTTTATAGGAGCTCTCTCTTGACCTCACCCGAGTGGAGAGGGCCTTCCACCAGCAGTGGTGTGAGCAGGACATTGCCGAGCTGCGCCTCCACCCATTTCCATATTGGAATAGAGAGAGAGAGACATTCAACGTTTGCCGCAACTGTGTGTCTTCTAAATGTTTAAACTGCACGCACTCGTGTACACAGCGTGATGTATACACGTGCTCTGTCGTCCCGAGTCCACGTTGAATACTTGTGTCATTGGTGGTGGGGGGAGGAATTAATCAAATGAAAGACGCACACTGACACCTAGTGTGTGAGCTTGGATATTACATGGCATGCGTGCACTGAGAGAGACACGTGCAGTTTGTTACGCATTTTTTGTTTTAACATGATTTCGTGTTGTCCTTACAGTATTATTAAGTTGTACTTTTAAACTAAAGCACTTTAAGCACGAGTGAGGAATGCCGGTCGACAATGACCGCGCTTGAGACCAGTCGCTGTGATTCATCGCATGAATGCACGCTGACGTATGAAGATCCTTGTAAGCGTGTTTATCAAGGTTTCCTAAGCTGGGGGGTTACGTCTGTGTCCTTTTGTTAGGCGAGGGCATCGCTTGAACAAGCAAGGGGACACGTGTCACACGATTGTGAGCTCATGACTCAGAAAATCACCAAACTATCACATCAGCTCAAGGTACGGTGGCGATAGCACATACAAAATAGATTTTTTAAAAAGATGTAAAATATATATTAATTTATTTAAAAAAACAGTACTGTACTGCATTTTCAGCAAAAACAAAATCAGTACACAACAAATGACAACAACAAATGAACCGCATTCGTCGCTGATCTCGCCAAGAAGCATGAACCATCATCACGCGACACTCCGGGGGTCATCCTCGTAGCAGCAGCAGCAGCGGCGGCCGGGGCTTTTGGCTGCTGGCCGTCGAACAAAGGCGGCGGTGGTCTCCGCATCGCACGGCGCTTTCAGATGCGCTTCCGCGGCCGTCTGGAACGCTCTTCCAATATTGGGAAGCCGCTGGAGCTGTGCACTTTTAAATCTCGAGTGAAAACGCATTTCTTTGTGGCTACTTTTTGCGAGTACTTTGTTATACTTCTCCCGCACCTCCGATTTGCACGGTTGGCAACCTACGGTGCGAAAGAAGTTGAGCGCACATACATACGATCATTGCGTTTGAGTACATGTGTGTCTGTGTGTGTGACTCGCGCCACTCCAGGTAAACCAAGAGCATCAGCGGGATCTCAGCTCGGAGCTTTCTAAGAAGAACTCGATGATGCACGAATACTTGAACATCAACTCCACGTTGCAGGAGACCACCATCGACCTGCAGGTGGGGAGCAAGAGCCCACGAGTCTCCGGCACTCCTGAAGCTTTGTGCTTCCATGCATCGTCCGATCACACAGCAGTCCGCACGCGGGAGGAGAGGCCAGCATGGCAGTGGCCACTCTTCTCTAGCAGGCCCGGCTCCAGCTCCTCGTAGATGGTGGTGAGGGGGGGCAGTAGAGCTGTCACGTGGGGTGGGGCAGTAGAGCTGTCACGTGGGGGGGGCAGTAGAGCTGTCACGTGGGGGGGGGGGGGCAGTAGAGCTGTCATGGGGGGGCAGTAGAGCTGTCATGGGGGGGCAGTAGAGCTGTCACGTGGGGGGGCAGTAGAGCTGTCACGTGGGGGGGGGGCAGTAGAGCTGTCACGTGGGGGGACGGGGGCAGTAGAGCTGTCACGGGGGGGGCAGTAGAGCTGTCACGGGGGGGGGGGGGCAGTAGAGCTGTCACGTGAGAGGGGGCGCAGTAGAGTTGTCACGTGGGTGGGGGCGGTAGAGTTGTCACGTGAGAGGGGGCGCAGTAGAGCTGTCACGTGGGGGGGAGGGGGGGCTGTCCTCTTCTTAAGGCAATTGCTGAGCTTTTCAGTTGGTTCCGTCGTGTGCCTGCACGGGAACCGTATACACGTAGATCATTTACAGACACCATGGGGGGAAACACGCGCTGCACACAGCTCGTTCTCAATTATGAGCGAGGTGGCGACATCCTTCTGATCCAGAGAGATGGACGGAGGTGACCACATACAGGGTCGCCCTTCTATTCATGTACGTCGTACAAGCACTTCTTTCGCACCGTACGTAGCCAGCCGTGCTAATCGGAGGTGCGGGGGAAGCAAAACATGCGCTGCATGCGTGCCCTCCCCCCCCTCCCGCCATCGCCTTTTCAGCGAGCGCTCACGGACACCACCCTGGGCAACTGCAGATTGCAGGAGGAGGTGAGGAGCCTGAGCGAGAGCAACGCCCGGGGCTTGCGGGAGCTGCAGGAGTGCGAGGCGCGCCTGCGCACCGCACAGCGGCGCGGTCAGACCCTGCAGCTGCAGGTGAGAGCGACGCTTGGAGGGCGCCCGCTGCACGTGACCGGGGGTCGGTCACGGGCCGAGTGTGGTGGGCGGTGGTGGGGGGGCATGAGGAGGCAACGTGCCCCCCCCCACCCACCCACCACCCCAAACTGGACACCTTTATACATTTATTTCCAGTAGTTTACAATTATGATGAAACTTATATTCATTACGTGCACCCCGGCGATGACTGATGTGAGGGACAAAGCGAACCCCTGCCCACTCCCCCCCCAAAAAACTTGGAAGTCAAACTCCGACCTAGGGGGTCGGTGTTTTGACGACGGACTTCGTGCCCAATGTGCGCCAGTGCCCACATTCAGGCTGGAGGGGCCTTGGTGGGGGCAGAGCAATCTCTGAAGCTTGGATCGTGAACGACTACATTGAATTAAATTAACACAATTATTTCTGTGCTTCGGTTCCATTCTCGATTCGGGGTGCATTTCTGTGCGGTGTTTGTACGCTGTCCTGCGGGTTGCGTTTCCTGGCATCGCTAAAATAAACACACAGAGTAATCGGTGTTGGCCAAACGTCCCAATGCTGAAAATGTATTTTCAATTTACTCAATTGGGACTACACACAGCAGCAGCGGCGTTGGGCCTCCTACTGCAAAAACTTGGCAGGACCCACCTGAAAAAAAGTCTTGAGACTCGGTGAGGCTTTCCTGGAAATAAAGAAAAAATAATAATGCTAACACAATTGAATAAACAACTGCTGCTGGTTCTGGAACAAGTTCTGGCCACTGTCATTCACTTCCCACGTCACCAACATTTACCGGGAGCTTCTTGCTGTGAGCCACAAAGCGTTCCCACTGCGCCAACCCCGCTGCCCAAAGTGGCCAAATGCGGTTGCCTTTTGTCCACGTTCGAGTTTAAGTTTGATTTTTGTGTAAACCAGGTGAGGCCTCGGGAGACCAGGATGAGTCTCGATACTAAGAGTGACCAGGTTCACCAAAATGACTTAAAATAAAAAAGGTAAAGTACGGCAGTGAAGTAAACAGCAATCGGAACAAAAAATAAAAGCAAATATTTTTATTCTTTTATTGTTTCCCTTCTACGTGACTTTACCGAAAGAACCAAGAATATGAATCCCTGCAGTCACGAAAGCTTTAAATCAAAATTCAAATACACTCTGTCACGTAAGGAATTGAATATGTCGCACGGACACGAAACAACGTTAAATAAAAAATTGGATCGGGCTGATTTCCCCCAGATAAATCGCACTATAAACTACAAAAATGAGCTGCATAAACATGAACTTTTTTACTGTAGGACTAATATATAAACAAACAAGGAGATGAGTCTAAAGGTATAGCAAGTGAGATTATTATAAAGAATGGATAGTTTCAGCATGAGATTGTGATAAAGATAGGAGGGACTTTTTGGAGTGAGAGAATTCTCTAGGTATTTCGGGCATTAATAGCATTCGTCTAAGGATAATAATCCTAATGGATACGTGCGGTGCGTCTGTCCTCACGGCTACGTGCGGTGCGTCTGTCTCTGTGTGGCCGGTGGGCAGGTGGAAGCGTGCCAGGCAGCCAACGAGAGCGTGATTCGGGAGACTACGCGCCGCCTCTACGGGGAATATTACGCCCAACTGACGCAGCAGGAGAGCCAGCACCGGACACACGTGGCCGATTTTCTGGTGCAGTGTATTAATATTTTGACGCTTTTTTTTCGGTGCGTATATATATCAGGGAACCCATGATTCTGATAACTTGAGAACCACGATAAACTCTTGATTCACGCAACGGGGCACATGCCGGCTGTTACGTTCAGTTGAGCCCACGTTGGCTCAGATTTTGCCCCTGTCAGCTGTTAATGTCGTCTTGGCCAATTGTGGCGTTGTTATCTAAGGCAGATGAAGGCCCCCGGCAGGTCATCGGCATCAGATGCCATTGGCCCTCGTAGAGGCGCATCGTAACGTTCGCAACGTTCTGGTTATCCTCCCAGTTATCTAGATATATTCGCAATGTCTTGGATGTGTGATCACAGATAAAGATTTTCATATTTTTTCATAAAACACGATCAAATCTCCTCTAAGCCACAAATGTAACTGGGACTCTGCCCCCTATTAAGGTGCAGCCCTGCAATTGCGCGCGAATGCCACCGCTGGCAGAATGGTTGGTACCCACTCGATGAAGCGAGCCGCTCGAGAGGGTATTTCTTGGGCTACTCTTCCACTCTGGCCAGATATAATTATCAATTACTGAATGTCTAGAATTGTACTGCATTGGTATAGTTTCCGAGTTTGCTTGGGGCTGCCGATTCCCCCAAACCCCCAATGCATCGATCTCTCTCCCGTGCCGCCGATGAGTCCTGCGCGGGCATTGTGTCCCGCTCCTGAACCCGGTGGCGCCGCTGCTGCTACTACGCAGGCCCGGCAGATGGAGTACGAAGCGCGACTCCAGCGGGCAGACGAGGCACGCGAGGACACCGAGCGGACGCTGGCCGAGAGCCAGCGGAGATCCCGTGAGCTGGAGAGGCTGCTCTCTGGCCTGCAGGACGTACGTGAAATCTCCCTACGTGCGATTCATCCCATATATGTCACCAAACCGCCGCTGTAGTGGTTAGGCACATTGCATTATGAACCCAGCGAGCTGCGTTTGATGGCCAACCTCGGATAATTTGTGCGTGTGTGTATTGAGCTTCTTTCGCACCACCGTACGTAGGCCACCGTGGTAATCAGAGGTCCAGGTGAAGGACAACAAAGTAAACACAAAAAGTATCGAAGTTATTTAAAAGTGCATAGCTCCAGTGGCTTCCAAATATTGTGGAGAAGAGCATTCCAGACGGCCGCAGAAACGCATATGAAAGGGCGTGATGCAGTGTTGGCTAGCCAAAACGGCACTGGCAATTCTGAGCCAAACCGGTGCAGGGATCTCGTGGTACCGATGGTTTTCCACTGTTAGCCGTGTCAAGCCAGAACCAAACCGTGGCTACGCTGGCTTCGCAAAACACCTTGATCTGGCTCAGAGCCAAGCAAGGCCAGGGTCCAGGCCAACTGTACTTCTCATTGCGTGCACACCGTCAGTCGGCACACTGTGGGGACGCAGCGTCACCACGTCACATGCACCCTATGGCGACCCTGTTCACTGCCTGTGATGTCGGTGGCACGGATCAGGCTCTGCGGTGGAAAAAGAGCCTCGCACTTTCTGATCTTCGACGGGCTGGCCTGGCACGGCCCTGGCGTGGCCCCATTGCAGAGTGAGAAAAGAGTCGATTGCGTGCGTGTGTGCCTCCCCTAAGTCTACTCAGTCTCAATTGAGTACCCGGTGCAGTTTGTAAACATCGCCACTGGGGAGACAAAGGACGGCCGGGCGTGGTGTTGGCCACCCACCCACTCGTGTGCCACAGTGCCGGCCTTCATAGGTGCTCGCTGACAGCACTTGCCGCAAAACAGTCTGTCAACGCGATGCGGGGTGGGGGGGATCTTTTTTGTGCGCGCGCGTGTACTCACAGGAGAGGGAGCTGTTTCTCAGGCGGCAGGAGGAGGTGGAGTCTGAGCTGTCACTCATCCAGGCACGGCCGAGTGGCAGCCAGGGCGAGAAGAAGAGGTGAGCGCTCGTAACGTGGCAAGCGAGGTACAAGTTGCGGCAAATTCCTCCGATTGTCTGCTTCCGTGAAGCTATCACGCGGGTTCTTGTATCCTCCAATGAACGTGAAACTTAAAAAAAAAGATGCCCATTATCTCCAAATTCAAATTTGTCTGTATTTTACACAAGTGTAAAACAACTCCCCAACTTTCGCTTGGCCAATAGCAGCAGCTTGCTCATCCCCACCGGTCGTCGCGTGAATGACGCGCGTCTCGGCCGCTTCCCGTCGCATCGCGTCGCTTTGCGATCGCGACGGGGTATTTCGCCGTTCCCCTCGAATGCCACAAGGTCCTCACCTTCACCATTATCATGACGGCATACTATGTGTTTTACTAACATTTATTTTGTTTTGTTAACAGGCGTACGTTTAAAATTTGACCAAACCATTTCAGAAGTAGCCCTGTGATGTCTGCTTCCATGGGCTGTTCTCTAACATGAAGGGTCGCGCTTGCTGTCTAAGAGTTCCGAATTGATTCTCCGTCTCGTGAACATGTCACCGACAGCACACGCGGGATGAATCTGGGGGACTGACAATGAAAATATTAAAACTTATAGAGCTCTAAATTGGCTCAAATGCAGTTGTCCTTGAGGTCATCTATCCCAATTGGCCTCCTGTCAAACTCCCTGCACGCTGATTGGCCAACCGTCAGAATACAATGGCGCCGATTGCTCGACTCTCGCCAAACGGCTTTCCCATTGGTCGCCTTGAAATAGTTGACTTTGCATTCGCTTTTGATTTAGTCCGGCCCTCTGATTGAACGCTCTCGCAGGTGCGAGCAGCTGGAAGGCGAGGTGGCCTGCCTGCACGAAAAAATCCGACATCTCAACGGTATCATCATCTCCCAGGATCGTAAAATAAAGGGTGTGTTAGAAAAGGTGAGAGAAATGCAGTCCTTGTATTTCACGCGTTTATATTTTACTTTCTAAATATATATGGTAATCCATTAATAGTTACCACCTATAATAATACTGTATTAATAATATGGAGAAATGCAGCACCAGTCTATGCCGCTTAGTCAAAAAACATTTTAATATTTTTTTCGGATGTGTTGCTGGCTTTGTTATGACTTTAGTAAAATAAAAATGTACATGTTTTAAATCGGTAACAACAGTTGTGTAAGGGCATTATGATACTCTTGCAAATGAGGCTCTCACCTTGTCTCTTAGACCTCTCACCTGGGTCAATAAACAAAATAAACCCGAACTTGAACCTAGAACCTTGATTGTGAAAAATGCAAATCGTGTAACCCCATTATAGAGTTTTCTTTTAGGGTTAGATCACGCCACCACCTGACACAGAGAGTAAGGCTTGTCACGTAAACAAAACACACACCAATTCGTTATCAGTACAGCACACCGGTTGTGTGTCGGAGAGTAAACCCACAACATTTACTATTCGAGTATCGTGACGTTTCGCCGGTAATTACAACCAGCATCATCAGGCGACGGCCAGAACTGTGGCAAAATCTTCCTGCTGTTTCGGTCTTAAAATCGAGGTGGGGATAAATGTGATGTCGTTACTTGTGAGGTGCAAAGAGCAGGGGGTGGGGTTGAGTGTGACCCCGGGCGGCGACGATGTCGCTTTGTCTTTGTGCGCATTGCGACAGGTGGAGCGCTTGCAGTGGGAGCTGCAGCAGAAGGATGCCATGATTTCGAACCTCCAGCAGAAGGTGGCCACACTGGAGGCCGAGGTAAACATCGATTCACGGCGGAATGCACATCGGTGAATCTGCATCCAAAAAAAAAAGCTTGCATACGCACCATCGTGTTTGTCCCCAGAAGAACTTCATTTGATTTTTTGTGCTTTTTGCGTCTAGTTTGTTGTTCCCCCCCCCCCCGCACCTCCGATTAGCACTTTTGTCTACATACGGCGCGGGCGAAGTTCAACGTACATACATACATTTGCAGTATGGAAGCCGACTGGTAGCTATCAGGGAATATTGCGTTTAAATTCTTGAAATGTGTCCATTTTTGCTCTGGCTTATGTCCCCAAGTTTTTTGCCAACCATTTAATCAATTTGGCTGCTTTTCAATCGGGGTAAGTCCCTAATAGCGACACGAATTTATACTACAGGCTCGATTGCATTGGATCATCTTAGCGGAAGAATAAAAAATGCGTCCAAGCCAGCGGCACGCGAAATACAAATTTGTCCATCACAAACAAACAACGAGATCCGGCCCAGGGGGGTATTTCCAATGTGTCGCTCGCTCGATGCCCCCCGATGACTCGTTGCAGAACGCCGCACTGAAGAGGAGGCTGGAGGAGCAGAGCCGCGCGGCGAAGACGTCCGAGAGGTCGACGCCCAACCTGTCTATCCCCTCCTACCAGCCCCATCTCCCACCAGCGTTGACGAGGTGAGGCTTGGCCGCACAGTCCGCCTCACACGACAGTGGCAAACACTGTGTTGCTCCTGTGGCAAATGCTGTGTCGGTAAGACGGGGCGAATGATCCACTATCGTGGCTGCCGCCTGATGAGGCTGGTTGTAATTTTACCGGCGAAACGTCATACTCGAATCGTAAATTATGTGGGCTTACTGAACTAGTAACTAATTGGCACGTTTTGTTTACGTGACAAATTTTACAAATTGACTGTGTCGGGTGATTAAACGACACGTATATTTATGCGATCTAGCCCAAATAAATTTTTTTATGGACGACGGTGGTAGTCGCCAAGCGGCACTGATGTGTGTGAGGTGAGAGCGAAGTGGCATCTACTCCAGGGAAGGCACGCAACATCCGAAACTGCATAGTGGCGAAGGCTCACTTGTGGTCTCGGGGAAAGACCCATTGTCTTGGATGTCTATGCATGTTTCCGAAGAAAAATAAATCTCACCTGGTGTAGCAGCGAGCAGCGAATGCAATGAAATGTCTCGTGGCACCGCGCAATTTGTGTCCGCAGGAGGCAGTGGAGTGTGGAGTCGTCGAGCGAGAATGGCGACTCGCCCCTGGCACGGCTGAGAAAGCTGAGAGCCAGCAGGATCCAGCCTGGACCAGGCAGCAAGGAGGCCGAGCGCAACGACTGACGACGACGACGACGAAGCTCCTCCTCGTTCGCACTTCACGAGCATCGCAGTCTCACCCTCCACCATGCCACAACCACCTCCCCCCCCCCCCCCCCGCGATAAACCGCGGTGTGACACACTGTGGAGTTACCGCGCAGACTCGGGCAACCACATGATCCGTTAGCGCGTCATTCTGCGCCAGGGAAAAAAACACGCGGCCAGCCGCGTGGTACAGTGCCCGGAGCCAGCAGCGACAGCAGAGAGGGAAACCTTTAACAGGGCCAGATACGGCGAGCAGTTGCTGTCGTTGCCGCTATGGCAGCCGTGCAAGACAGGAAGTTGCTTAGTGTCAGCGTGCGACGGGAGGGGATGGTCTGTGGTCGTGCCGCGGACTAGATGATTATTTTTAGTCGATGTAGGCTGGCTGCTTGACTGGCTATGTGTATAGAGTGTCCATAGAGGTGTCATCCATTATCAAAGAAGTGTTATTAGACAGCTTGAAGTCGGTAGACTACACATACACACACGCTTGCTCGTATGCATATTTTATTGTACGAGTCTCAACCCTTCAAATCTTGACGTGTGCGCTGTGGTGTTGGTGACGCACGTGGCTTTGAGGCTGGGAGAGGTCCCCCATGTGTGTTGCCGGTTGTGATTGTTCCCATTGTGATTGTTCCCATTGTTATTCCCATTCTGATTGTTCTCATTGTGATTGTTCCCGTTGTGATTGTTCCCGTTGTTATTGTTCCAATTGTTATTGTTCTCATTGCAGTTGTTCCCATTGTCATTGTTCCCATCGTGATTGTTCCCATTGTGATTATTCCGACTACGATTATTCCGAATGCTTCTCTCGTGTTGCTGTTGAAGGTCACTCCAGCTTTTAATCTGACACCTGATGGTAACAAAAAAACACAAGTGGAAACAAATGATGCCGACATTTAAACTTCCTTCTCAATAATAATACAAAACAATAATTCTTTAGTAATTAATGATACCTTTATGGATGCCCTGTATACTATGAAAAAGTTTTCATGGTCGATCAGATGATTCATTGTCCAGGTTTTCTTTCAAAGTGGCAGTTGTTGCAACGGTAGCAGTGCCCTGATTAATATTAAGCCGACAGGTGACTCGTGCGAGCAACTTTAGCTCCGTCAAACCCACTCACCAGCTTGCATCATTCAGACTGTACAGCAAAAACTCATGAGCGGAACGCAAGGCGCAAGGTGAGCACCAGCAGGGCACATTTGTGGACAAACGCATCTTCAAAACCCGGATGAGTGCAGGTGGTCGGCAAGAGCACCCGCGTTACCTGCAGGCACCGAGTCGGCCAGTAGGGCTCTAAACACACCACCACAGGACTCCTCAGAACGACCGCATCCGCGATGTGCGAGCGACGATGCAAAGCTCTGTCTGGCATTCCTCTAACTTCATTTTGACCGTGGAAATTTGTGGGAAGAACTTCTCCAACGTACGAGCCTTTTGAAAACTTAGTATTTGTCGGTTTATTTTACGCACCTTGAAGATATATCCGAGATACAAGATATGTGCGAATTTTTCTTTTAAAAGTCGGATATTAAAAGACTTTAGGCATTGCATGTTGCTTCAATATACCATTTGTATATGATATATTTTTTTCAGATGCTGCCCAGCCTGCCTACTACTGGCTGAGACAGCAGAGTTTGTTGCAGGGAAACTTGCAATAGCTTTTAAATTGAGACCTCCTTTGCCAGTAGCAAGATATAGTAATAAGTTTTTACCCTTTTATCTGGCACCAAAAGTGACACCTTTATACAAGGGATCATTACCCCGAGCTCTCAACACTCTGATAGTGCACTGTTTTTGAGTTGTGCGCCTTTTGGCGTCACCTGGTCCAACACCAGTGAAGACTAAGGGCTCTAAGAAAAGCCGTCTCGGGTGTGGACCACAATGCCAATATCATTATCAGAGTTGTCTCTTTTTGTTTGCATTTTGACTGCTTGTGTTGTGGTTATTGCAAACATGATCCCTTATATAAAGGTGTCTGTTTTGGTGCCCGATAAAAGGGTAAAAACCTATTACTATTACTTGCAATAGCTTATACCGCAGAGCTATTCCAGCAGAGTGGGAGGCTATAACAATGGTTTTCTCATGGCCTGCCTTTTTCTGCCAGATTTAGAGGGCCAGAATTCAGCAACCCCATCCATAAATATGGAGTTCCTGGAGTGGTCTGGAGATGCTAACCTCTTGATTCATGTCTGGCTATGACGACTATAATACGAGATGATGGTTTTGTTAACTTGTTAAGGCTGGTCTTCGTTCCTAAGAAACCTGTGTTCGTTTTTAGCAGTGGTGATTTAATGCTCAACATTGAGAAGACAACACAGTTCACCTCGGGTTTTCCAGTGTCACGCACAGGTGGACTAATTGATCATTGAAGCACAAAGGCAATGTGTAGTGATGCTGCACTGGTGCTGGTTTTCCCACCAGACCGGTTCTCCTGAGAAGCGGCGTGGGCTGTGTGCACCCATCTGCTGGAGAAAGTGCTGAGAATTAAGGCACTGTTGGCGCATTCCAGTTTGTCGGTGGTTCTCTATGGTCATCTGTGGGTCTCCCTGTGAGTCTATGGGCCTCTGTGTGAGTGTGGTTCTCTGTGGGTCTATTGGCCTCTGTGTGAGTGTGGATCTCTGTGAGTCTATGGGCCTCTGTGCGAGTCTGTATCTCAACGTGGGTCTATGGGCCTCTGTGTGAGTGTGGGTCTCTCCGTGAGAATATGGGTCTCTGTGAGAAAGCACTGATGATGAAGCCACTTGCCAGCACATTCCACATACTCAAATGACTCAACCTGCACACTGTCATCCGCTTAACCTTGTATTATATTTTATGTGTGCATGTTATATCAACAAATAATGTGTGTAATGGTCACGGAGCATCTGGATTGGATCTCAATAGCTTTGTAAATCTCACAAATTATCATCATGGAGGAATGGTAATTCTGTCCAAATCGGGTGGAAATTCCAACAATCTGAGAATAAATGAGGAGGGGTTACTGGTTTGTGTCTCCAGAAATTGGTTGGCTTGTACATTTTAGAGGCTTTAAATTGACTTCAGTGACCATCAAATTACATTAGCGGCAATCATCATAAATAGATCATGAACACGTTTGTTAACACTGTCTTAAAAAGAAAATGTACATCATGGGTGACATTTTGGGCAGTGATACTTCGTAGGGCTTCACAATGTGCGGGGTCGTGGGGGTTATTTGACTTTACCACTGATTACTGTTGTGTGCCTTTAAATGGTTTTAACAGCTACAATTATATTATTTGGTAATATTACACACTTGTTTTTTTTCAAGAAAAAGCATGTTTTTGGTCGAATTTGATTGTTCAAATAAGAGTTTTTGTCGTGAAAACAGTTGTTTAATGCCAATTTTCAGCAAACATTTTTTTGTATTTACCGTTTCCACGTTACTTTTTGAGTTTTAGGGGCAGATGGTACTGATTTTGCATAAAACCAAGAGTTCTGGTTACGTTGCAACCCCGGTTTAAGTGCGTTTATTTTCAATTAAATGACACTTTCAATCGGCAATTTAATACAACAGCGCACCTGGTGATGAAACAGCGCCCCCTTGTGGTTTTGAAAGGTTTTTTTTATTAAAAAAAGTTTTCTTTCACGTGCCAGGTCTCTTTCACCTATGGCCCAGGTTACCATGGACTGTATTCCGCATCCTCCTGCACCCCTCTGGCCATTAGTGCTCAGGGTCTCCTTCACATTTGTATCTGTGCAGGCACCTGCCATTGGGAATGTTCCCGTTATTAAATAATCGTCGTTTATCTTATTGTTATTTCAGATGTACAAATGTAATTTTTAAAAAAATGATTAGTTAAATGTTTACTTAATTGTAATTATTAAAATTTATTAAATATATATTAAGTAAAAAAAGAAGAGGGACTTGAACCCTGGACTCCATGGCTAGCAGCCCCACGTGCTCCCCGCTCAGCAACGGAATGGTGTTGACGTCACAGAGCGCCACGTGGCGTAGTGACTTTCTCTGGCGGCATCTGAATCGTATTAATGTTGAGCGAGACGTCATCACTGGCGTTGACGTGAGGTTTGAATTAACGCCACTACATCGTCAATCTTTTAAAATTTGAAAATTGTACTAAAAGTGCACGGCCGGCATTCGAACCTCGGTATCCTGCTTCAGAGGCAGCCCTCGACACCACGCGGACCTGGTAGAAGCCGCAAACGTTCTGGTTTTTAAATCGTTGTTTTTATTATTTATCAATAAACTAAACCACGTGAAACACGCACCCTTGAACGATTGCTCTTGATGCATAAACAATGCCGAAGGTAAATCTGAAGTTATTCGAGACTGCGGACTTTAACCCGGCTACACTACAACTCCGCAACTAAGCAAACTCCGCGAGCAGCCACCACCGCGGTTGTGCACGTGACCAGTGCCACTCGTGTATTGTTCTTCACTAATTATCACGGGGAGGGCACTTTCACCGATAAGACATCATCAGTGTGAGGGCCGCCAAACATTTGAAACCCATTGGGGGTTTGACAGCAGCCAGTGGCCCGTGGGCCTTGCAATGAAGAACACTGCGCAAGTGTATGAAATGTACTCTTTGGTTCTTTTGGTAAACAGGGGACACAGAGAGACATACACTAACATAGACACAACAGGGGACACAGAGAGACAAGTCTCTGTGTCCCTTGTTGTGTCTATGTTAGTTCCCCCTACTTGGGTGTCTGTATATACATCTGGGGTTATGTGTTTCCCCTCTCTCGTAAATTTAGCTCTTCTGTACCTGATGATGGCTGCTTGTGTTGCAACCGAAACGTCGTACGCTATTATGTTATTTTATTATTTCTTATTTAAACGTGACTTTACCGAAAAAAACAAAGAGTAATTCCTGCAGTCACAAAAGCTTCGAACCAAGTCTTGAACCCGCCTCTACGGGGAGGTATAAGGTCTGTATCTTTGTGTCTGTCTTTGTGTTGTCTTGTGTTGTCTTTGTCTTGTCTTTGCTTGTGTATCTGCCTTTCTGTCTTGGCTTGGATTTGTGTCTCTGTGCTGTCTCTGCCTGTGTGTAGGTCTTGGTGCTTCCGAGTGTTTGCTGCCGTGCCCCACTTTGCTCCATGCATAGCTCATGTTATTATGTCCCATTGTCTCTCAGCCTTACCTTCTCTGCCTATTTAAGGCGACTTCACTGTGTACTTGTCTCTGTGCTGGTTCGCTCTACTTGAATGTCGATGTGTGTGTGTGTGCGGTCTGTATTTTAAATTTCATACTTAACTTGCAATTTAGCAATCTTTAAAATAGCGTAATCAACCGGACTATGCGTTAATTGTGTTTTGACCGACCGTCTGTGTTGCTTTATATGGTTTCCAAATTTTTCTAAACACTGTTTTTTGAGTATACTTGTCTCTCTGTGTCCCCTGTTGTGTCTGTGTTAGTTCCCCCTACTTGGGTGTCTGTGTATACATCTGGGGTTATGTGTTTCCCCTCTCTCGTAAATTTAGCTCTTCTGTACCTGATCATGGCTGCTTGTGTTGCAACCGAAACGTCGTACGCTATTATGTTATTTTATTATTTCTTCTTTATACGTGACTTTACCGAAAAAAACAAAGAGTAATGCCTAAGAGTGGTTCGGTATGTATTTAAAGCTAGGATAGTGGGCATTAAGGAATGTTACGTTTTGAATGAGAAAAGTTAGTGGGCTTGGGCAGGACACGTCGCCGATTTTAAAAATATTTTTTTACCAAAGAGTTTAATGAAGTTATTTCAGGTCACCTTGACCCCTGGATCTAGGCAGAGTTGGCATGCCAGTCATGGGCGTTGTTTGACCATACTTCACCATGCCGGTCAGTGCAGGTTCAAAGGGCGAAGGACCCAGGACTGATTCGGATTTCTCTCCCCACTGTCATGAGGTGTAGCCAGGAATAGAACTCCGGGGATCGTAGTGCAGCGTGCTGACGATTGCACCATCAGATGGACCCCCCTGGTAACGATTTACAAAAGATGTATAATAAAATAAAATAAACTACGAATTGTTACATCTTATGAAGTGTTTTATTCAACAATTGACAATACTAATGTGCACTTATTTTTTTTAATCTAATAATATTCGATATGCATGCTGTAAGAGGTGCCATACATTTGTCAAGCTCGTGTTTCATTGTAAATAAACAACGTTACATAATTTCTCTAATTGCAAATACAAATCACAGCAATTATAATCTTGCGTAATACCCTTAGCATGTAACCCAATCAACTACTCTTGGCACACACACACGCATGCTGTTATCGGCCAACAATGATCGGAAGTTTAAAAGAAGGCATTGTTAATACTTCAACTCCTTAGCAACTGCACGCATACAGCGGCATGACAATGTATGGCACACAAGGGCGGTAATGTTAATATTGGCATTTTGCATCACTTATTATTGTGCATGTCTATTATTACCAACATCTGCAACAAAAATATTTAGTACGTTTTTCTTTTAGTACTTTCAACAATCAACATGAACCATCCCAAAAGCAGACAACGATCGTATATTCACCCAAAGTTTTAACCACTTTTTTACGAGCAACCAGGTTTTGTAAATTGCCTGCATATTAAGACTTTCAGCTACGGATTCTGCAACATTACCATATTTTTGCTACTGCTACAAAGCTATCTGGTGCTATTTAAATAATTTAGCAGTTACGTTGCACAATGTGGAGAGATGGAAAAGCCAGCATTTCATTAAATACGCTTGAGAACTGAAACTTTTAAGATAAGGGGCTAAAGGTGGAGCTCTGCAAGCTGCTTTCTAACCAAACAGGATTAGTGAGTATTCGACAATTCTAAAAAGTTGCATCTGCACCGGCGTGTACGCGCGTACATCCAGCGGATGTCTGTGCGTGTGTACGACTCTTGTGGCGCACGCTTCGTGGTGATTTCCCATCTGCCTGTGTGCGTCTTGCGCAAGCACCACCACCGACGGTGGGAGAAAACATGTTTGGAAAGAGGGGGGGAGGGGAGGGTGCTGAAATAGATTTGGGGGGGGGGATTTTTTGTTTAAAGTATATACTAAAAAAATAATTGGTAAGTGAAATATGTCAGTTTAACACGTAGGCTTTCGCGACCAATGTTATCCATAATAAAGGTTTTTGGGTTAGATCGTGTCATTTATAAATGTGTCGTAATCCTCCACCACCCGACACGGCCAATCAGCAAAAAAGTGTGTCACGTTGACAAAAGACAAATAGTTCACTACTTTAGCCCACCGGTGTGTTGAAGAGTGAATCAACATAATTTAAAATTTGAGTACCGTGACCTTTCGCTGGTAATTACATCCAGCATCATCGGGCAATTCGCCAGAATGGTAAAACCCTCACTTGCTCCCGGTCTTAAATAGAGCAGCAGGGTGACGTCATCATTTAACTCATTCAGGTGCAGTGATTTGAAGCGGAGGGGGGTATTGTAATTATGTAATCGATTGGTAATCAGTCAATGGTTATGATTAGTAATGATTGTAGATTAGTAATTAGTTGTAATGTGTGTATTGTGATTATATGCTACGTTAGTAATACGTTAATTAGTATGTGTTTCAAACGGTAAATGTTGTGGATTCACTCTTCAACACACCGGTGGGCTAAAGTAGTTAACTATTTGTCTTTTGTCAACGTGACACTTTTTTGCTGATTGGCCGTGTCGGGTGGTGGAGGGTTACGACACATTAATAAATAACGCGATCTAACCCAAAAACCTTTATTATGACATATGTGTACGTGAAAATAAATCTCTGAAACACAAGAGAACCGCAAGGCGATAGACTTGACATCAGTGTTATGTATGTGTATTTATGTTGAACTTCTTTCGCGCCGTACGTAGCCAACCGTGCTAATTGGAAGTGCGGGGTGGGGGGACAACAACAGCAGCGGTGATCTTGCGCCGCTCTCGCCGCCTCTGGCTCGGAGAAGTTTCCCTGCAGAGGCTGCGTTTGAATGATGCGAGCGGAGAAACAACGGGGTGCGTGGGGTGAAGGCGGTGCGGAGGGCCGAAGTCCTGGCTTAACCGTAGCTACTACCCGCGGTACCCGTGGGCACCACCAACAACCGCACTGGGGCCGCGCACTCTCAGCGGCTGCTCGCCATGTGCACGCGCACAAAGGAGTCGAGGCGCTGGATCCGTTCCATCAGCAGGTCGCTCTCACGCTCGCAGTGGTCGAATAAGAAATCCAGCGGGGAAACGTCCCAGTCCAGCTCCTGTGGAAGAGGCCCGGTACATTTAGTCACCGTACGGGACGTGGCGCATGCACGTGGGTGGGCGCGTGGGTGGGTGGGTGGGCGCATGGGTGGGTGGGTGGGTGGGCGCATGGGTGGGTGGGTGGGTGGGCGCATGGGTGGGTGGGTGGGCGCATGGGTGGGCGCATGGGTGGGTGGGTAGGTGGGCGCATGGGTGGGTGGGTGGGCGCGTGGGTGGGTGGGTGGGCGCGTGGGTGGGTGGGTGGGCGCGTGGGTGGGTGGGTGGGCGCATGGGTGGGTGGGTGGTATGTAATGTGGCGCTGCACTTTGATGTTGTAGGAGAAAACATTTCTTAAAAAGTCTATTTAATTAAGTAAAACGTGTTGTCTATATTTATTTAAAGTTGCGCATTTTGATGTGACGTCACGTTTCTTACCCACCCCCTCGTCACACATCGTCACAAATGTCTGACCCCCCCCCCCCCCCCTAGGTGCGTGACGTCATTTATGGACGGCCCCTTGCGGGAATGGCGAAGAGGCGGGAGGGGGGATCCGGGGGATTGGGAGCTGGGGTGGGACGGAAAATATGCCATGAGACATCAAGCCCTTGGTAACAACCCAAACCACTTGGACTCTTTTGGGGTCTGACAAGGGGGGGCACACCTACATTCGTCGCGAGAACAGCCACTGCCTCGACCATACCTCCTTGCAGATCACAAGGACGGGCTCCGTGTGGTCAGTTTGAACAGATTTGCTGGAGGAGAGGGCATCGCCGTCCACCTCCAGGGCTTGCTCACTTCCCGTCCTCACGTCCGCCGCCACGCTCAGCTCCGCGATTGCCTCCTCCGTGAAGGGGAGGCCGGGCAGGCCGAGCAGGTTGGGCAGGCCGGGCAGGCCGGGCAGCCCGGGTTGGCCGGGCAGGCCGGGCAGGCCGGGCAGGCCGGGCAGCCCGGGTTGGCCGGGTTGACTCGGAGTGGCGGCGGTCGGTGGTGTGGCAGCGACATCTGGGAGAGGTGGAACTACGGGCGTCGCATGCCCGCTCTTGCTCTCTACGCCTTCCGACCTGGGGAGAGAGCGGCGCAGCGTTGACAAGTGCCCCCAGGTTCAACTGACAAGAGACAAAGATACCCCGTAGAGCCTTCACAGACTGTTGGGGCAAGTGCTGGTAGCGAGCACCTATGAAGGCCGGCGCTGTGGCACACGAGGGGGTGGGTGGCCAACACCACGCCCGGCCGCCTTTGGCTCCCCAGTGGCAATGTTTACACACCGCACCAGATACTCATTTGAGGCTGAGTCGACCTAGGGGAGGCCCAGGACCAGTTCAGGAAATCATCACTGGTGTTGGCCGTGAGCGGGAATCGAACTCGTGTCACCTGGTTAGTAGTGCAGCACATTAACCGCTACACCACATACATACAAACATTCATACAGTTCCATGGTTTTTTTCTTGTAGAAAACTGCTTGGGAATTTGGTTTAGAAATAATTTTGCGGTGATTGTAATTTAGCACGTGCAAAAAACAACACGTGTTCCTGTGAAATGTGTCATCATTGTCATCGTCAGCCACGGTCTATCCACCGCCGGGTGGAGACCTTTTCCAAGCCATCAACCATCTCTGAAATTCTCGCGATGCAGCAGTTCGTTAGCATCGATTCATTAATAGAAAAAAATAAGTAAGTTTATTACACCATTATGGGATAGAGATTAGTTGCACACGCAGCATTTGGGCTACAACAAAAATGACTGTGCCGGGACAAGTTATGAGAGAAAATGGAATAAAAAGCTTCATAGTGTGGCAAAGAATCGTGGAGAGGCGCATGCGTGTATGTGGGTCAGAGAGCAAGCACGAGTTAAACACACCACATTGACTTCACATATGTATGCATGTATATGTACGTTGAACTTCTTTGTCACCGTACGTAACCAGCCGTGCTAATCGGAGGTGCGGGGGATGGACAAGACTCAGGATGAAGTGGCCGTCAATGGATGAAGCATGCACACGGGGAGCCTCCATCGCAGTGACGGAGTGAAGACATCGGCTAGCGTGGCAGAAGTGCTTGATGGAGATTTGCATCGAAAGACTGTAAGCGATTGCAGCTTGGGAAGGACTTCAACCCAGCAGTGGATAAATCACGGCTGGTAATGACAGTCGTCAATATCAGATGCGTTCTCGATGTACATGATGATGATGACGACGATGATGATGACGATGACGACAATGACGATGTTAATGACGACATTGACGATGATGATGCGGGATGCACAGAGTATTGGACCGTCTGGCCCTAAACAACAAATCCCTCTACTTTTGACAATCGGCGTGTGCGTAGTTAAAGCACGAACATATTATATGAGGGGGGTGGGGGGAATGAAGAACAAACCCTGTGACCAGTTTGCTCTTTTCCAGCTCACGCTCAGACTCCAGAAACTCCACCAGAAACTTCATCTCGTGGATCTGAGGAGCAGAATCTCGTGTTACATTTGCCTAAGTAAAGGGACTCCTCTACTTACGAACATTCGACTTACGAACATTCAGAGATATAAACAAACCTGTACGTATGTCCAGCTGCCTGTTCAGACCGAGAGTCGCAAGTTCAACCGCCACGCAACAGATTACGGTAGTGGCATCTACATCTGCAGAACATGAAGAACCAGTGGCATCTACATCTACAGGAGATTATACAATTTTTAAAGCCATTTCCTGTGTTTAGGGTATATGCCATACATGTTCGGAATCGACTTACGAACAGATCTCTGGAACCTAACTCATTCGTAGGTAGAGGAGTCCCTGTAAATTCTAATATCTGAAGTTCGGAATTATTCAGCGTATAATTTTTTTACATTTATAAAATAAAATGCATTGCATGCTTACGAGAGTTTTCTTGCCTTTGTTATTAATTTAGTTTGTATGAAAGTCTCTCTTATTCCTGATAGACCCTGATTATCCAAAGTGTTGAACTGTATGAGTGAGTAAAAACATACTCTTTGGTTCTATTCGGTAAAGTCACGTAGGTAAAAAATAAAACAACAAAAATCACGACGTTTCGGCCACAACACAAGTGGCTTTCATCAGGTGAAGGGACAAACTGTCCAGCGGACAGTTGAAGGCCACTTGTGTTGTGGCCGAAACGTCGTGATTTTTGTTGTTTTATTTTTTACCTACGTGACTTTACCGAATAGAACCAAAGAGTATGGATCCTTGCAGTCACGAAAGCTTCAAATCTAGACTTGAGTAAAAACACCATGCTGATATCATCTACAAAGTGCCGGATTACAGCTGCGCACTGACGCGTCAGCGTAACAACAATGTAATATAACCCGCAACACAATTGTGACATTACATCCGTCGCATTAGAGCGTTGTCTGACCTCATACTTGAGCTGCGAGATCTCCGTCGTCAGTTGATGATTTGTCATCTTCTCCTCGCCTAGTTTCGACCTCATCCCCTCCATCTGAGGCAAGAAGCCGGACACACCAAACGAACCGTGGGTTCACATTCACACACTTGGACTCTCTCTCCTACCAACACGATCAAGCCACTGCACACAGCGCAAGCTCTCCTGGTCAGGGAAGGACTCATGACATCAGGGCTAGTGTCCTCTGTATGTGAATGTCGTCAAAATGGAGGGAATATTCCATTGGCTGTGTAGTGGCAAGGCCCCTAGGTTCTCCCGTGGTGTCAGTGGATGAAACAAGCCTCTATTCGCGAAAGACAAATTCTCACCTTTTACCTTCAATTCTACTTTTAATGCCTACCAGACGTTCTGGTTTGGCCACCACGATAGCCCTCTTTATTAGACTGCCTGTCCCAGTTGCCCCAAAGCATTTTTGAAAATCAGGATTGTATCCTAGTTTAACATTTTCTGCTCAACTCACGTTATGGGCAAAGGTGGGGGGTGGCGGGGGGGGGGGCGCTATCCGAGCAGTGGGTGGGGTTGGCAGAAGGGTGGGTGGGGTCTTATGAGCAGCGGCAGATAGGGGCCACCTTCGGAAAGTTGAGTGGGGCGAGTAGCGATTGTGTGGGTGTGGCTATGTAAAAGTTGTCGGGGATCTCGTCGCGCGCTCTCGCTTGAGCCTCCCAGAAATTCGGTAGCTTTTATTTACTTCCACGCTGCTCGTGGCCTACCTGAGCCACCAGGTCTCGGATCTTCTTTTGGTGGGAGGACAGCATGTCGTTGAGAAGGTTGATTCTCTTCTCCAGGAGAGCTCTGTCCCAGCCAGGTCCCCTGCAATTCAATTCATGTTAGCTGCAGAGGGCCCTTTCCCCATTGAGGATGGTGCATTTGAATCGTCAATACTTTGTGTAAGGGACACCGAGGAGGAGCGCCCCACAAGTTATAAACAAAGTGACCGGAGGGCCGAAGAAGGAGTTACGAGCACGGGATACACGCGTCAGGTCGTGGGCCGGCAGCACGCAAGGTCAGGAGCCCTGATTGGCCACTAGACACTCAATTAAAAAACGTTGACCTGTTCGCACTGAAATCGTCACACTTAAATGTGAATATTGGTAGTAACTGAACAGTAAATATAGCTGATGAGTAACAGTAAGCCAGAATTATTAATTGTGCAGGAATTGTGGTGTTTATTTTATGAGTTGTTACAATATTTACCTTATAACTCCCTCTGAGCTTATTTGAGTTACAGCCTGCAGGTCTGTTTCCAGAGCTTCACACTCTTTGGCCGATTCCCTCAGCTCCTGAGAATGAAAAAAAAATCCAAAGAAGTCCCACACCAGTCTGACACCGCCAGCCGTCAGCCCATCCCATTCGATCCAAGCTCAAGTTCATTTGGGAGCTTGGACCACCCTACTGACCAGTGTGAAAGGTGTTTTCGATGGTTGTGTTCATAGCATGAGGTGCACCTTGATACAAACTCGCAGCAGTAATTAAACCTCTGTTCTGTTAAGTTAGTTTTCTTTTTTACAACATAGCTTTGCAAACTAGGCTTGTGGTTTGGGGATATCAAGCTGCGGAACGTCCGCAGTTGTTGTCTAATGGCTGGTCTTATAATGACCATAAGAGCATAAAATTGTCACCACCACCTCAGGGTCATTCGTGGAGATTGGCTCAAACCAATTCTCAACGTTCTTTAAAAATAACTTGGAAGGATGGAATAACGTTTTTTTAATAACTAACTTTTTTACGAACTAAGTATTTCTTTTATAACTTTTTTGAAACTGAATGTCCAAAATCGAGAGAGTGCAAGGTTCCCACTGGCAGAGCCAGACGGACAAGGCCAAGGGAACGAGTTGACCCATTTTCTCAGTCCACCATGAGCTCTGCTGGTGGAGTCCGGCTCCGAGAGATTTGACTTCAGGCTGTGTTTGAACGTGAGCTGGTAAATAGATTTGAGGTGGCCAATCCCTGTTGGCCCCGAGCCACTCGTGGCCGATGGCAATTCATGGGTAATGTGCGTTGAGGTACACGGTTAAAATGTAAAAAATATATATAGATAATGATGATGATGATTGATGAGGCTGATGATGATGATGTATGTATGTATGTGGAACTTCTTTCGCGCTGTACGTAGCCAACCGTGCTAATTGGAGGTACTGATAATGATCATGAGGCTGATAATAAAATTTGAGGATGATCTACGACGACGATGATGATGAACAGTACGATGTTGACGATGATGGCATCCGCACCCCGCTGATCTCCAGGATCTCGCTGCTCATCCTCTGAGCCTCGGCCTGCGCTGCGTCCAGCCTTTCCCGCGTGTCGCTGCCACGCTCCTTGGTGGTTTCGATCTCCTTTTCGATGTCGCTCACCTCCACCTGAACAACACGAGCACCGGTTCCATGAGAATTCTGCAATTATAGTAAAAAACAACAACAAGGCAAGTGTACCTGTCAGAATTGAGTGACAGCCTCGGTTGACCGATGCATTGGGATACGGCTGAAAATTCTGCAGGATTTGAGTCACTCAACTCTAATATGTGTGTGTGATTAACTTCTTTTGCACCGTACGTCGCCAACTGTGCTCAATCGGAGGTGCAGGGGAAGGACAACAAACTAAATACATAGTTAACAAACTGTGCTGTCAAAATGTGAAATTAAATATTCAGATATAGGTAATCTTGGAAAATAGACATTGCATATCAATGAATGATCAGTTTTTTTTTAATACTTGTTGTGGACAAACACTTCATATTCCATGTTCCCCTTGTTTTCCAATGTGCTGAATAAGGCCTATCGCCTAAATTGTTGGCTTGCTACGCATGCTTCAGTTGTACAGCAGTATGAATGACAATGGTGGTATTTTCAGCCTCTGCTTCTTTGACCGTCTGGCCAAATTGTGCTGGGGCAGAGCGCGTCAGTCACAAATCAGATGGTCACGGACTAAAATCTCAGTTGAGGGTTAACTTGACTCTGTTACCCACACTATCCGAACAATCCGAACCCCGAAAACCCCGAACGGTTCGGCCTACCTTGTCTGTATGTGCGTTGAACTTCCTTCGTGCTAATCGGAGGTGCGGGGTAGTTGCAAGGAAGTTCTCACCTTGATCTGCTGCAGCCGAGCCAAGGCCTGGTCGTAGCTCCTCTGCAGGCACTCACACTCCAGCCTCTGGGCGACGCTGCTCCGCGAGGCGGTCATCAGCGCAGCCTGCATGGCAACCACCGACGGCGCGTCGATACCGCATTGACACCGCGTCAATACTACGTCAACACCGCATCAACACCGCATCAACACCGACTCCACGGCCGTTTCCCCAGCATCGCCCCCCCCCCCCCCCAGCCGTGCTACCGGCGTCACGTTGGCGGACTGCGGCGTCGAGCTGGCCACGTGCGGCGTCACGGGCAGGGGGGCCCGGCGTCGGTGAGGGCACTCGCGCTCGACCCTCGTGGGGCACGACGAGGTTCCCGTTGGGAGGGAGCCTCCATCGACGCCTCTGGGGAGGTTGTTCAGCTCCGGGGGCTGCGCGTGGACGGCTCGTAGCTGGAGGGAGGCGTCGCCCATCTGGCCACGGGCCGCGGCTACCGTCATAGCTCGCCGGGCAGCCGAGTTGCGATGCCGCGGCCCTTCATATTAAGAGACTGGCCCATGGACTTGGATACCAAAGAACTACCCCTGGGATCCCTTTCAAGTGACCCTAATGTGAATGCTAGCAGTCAAACAGTGCATACTATACACAGTCACTTGATGGCCATAGCCATCGCTTATCCAATCCAATGGGCACATTACCAATTGAAATGGGATGCATTCAATGAAAGCGTTCCAAACCCCCACTCTATCTGATCCTGAGCTCCACGCTCGACTTCCCATGTCTTAAATCCACGGTGAGCCTGAATTCCAGTCCACGTGACCCCAGGGCAACCGTAGCGCGCCCCGCGTCAGGTGACGGGTACCTGTGCGTGCAGGTAGGACTCCAGCAGCTTGGCAATGGAGTGCGTGTAGTGCTCTATCAGCTCCGTGCCAAGCTGCGGCAAGGGCAAGCCCGTGCTGGCTCCCTTTCATCCGGGACAGACGAAACACAACGCGCGCGCGTGAGACGTCGGCAAAGAGAGCGACGAGCGGCAGTAGCCGGCAATGCAGAGGAGTTCGCGACGGCGATGCAGTTGCTCGTTACCTTGCCGCTGGCCGTGCCCGCAGCGTTCTGGCGAGTGGCTTTCAAGTGACGCTTTATCATTTTGCTGAGGTTCTCCAAGTAACCTTTGACCTGATGAGGATACCACGAATGCCCCCACACATACACACACAACCGGGGGTTGAGGTTGTTGTTGGGTTGTTGTTTTTCAAAAACACTTGACAAGTCAAAACACAAAACGAATTTGTCTACTAGCAGTGCGAGAGGTGTGAATTGGAATAACGTGAAAGGTGAAGTTGTAGGAGCGAGCTACCTCTGAACATGTTTCTGTCTCCTCAACGATCAGCTCTCCCAGTTCACTGGCTCCTCCACTCGCCTCGACCAACCTACGGAGTTCAGAAATTATCGGAACGTGCAGCGTCAGTCATTACGGAATGATGTTCGTCCCTGCACTGATATGGTCGTATAATTATAATTATTGCACGGTACTTTTTAACTCCGTTCATTTTGGTGCGATTTCCTAATTAGTTTTTGTTTATTGGTAGTAGGGTTTTCATTTGCTTGGTAGTGACTGTATATGGGATTTGGTGCTTTAATATAATTAATGTACTACGTTGTGAGATGCTATCTTCTTCTTTAGCATGGCATGTAAGCAACAGTTTGTATCGATGATGTCATCGTTAAATGTTAAGGTCCTTCAACCAATCCAAGTCGGCAGTAGACGCTGAGTGGATTTCAGCAATGCCGCCAGAGTGTGAATGGATGGCGCACTCGTCGGTGATGCATTGTATGGTTTGGGCTTTACCACAGTCGTAGACTGGTGAATCTTGAATTTTACATTCATGGAACAACGTGTACGCACATCCCCAGTGTGGCCTACAACCGTCGTGAGAGAGATAATCGCGGCACATCCACGGTCCTCAATGATGGTTTTGTTTACCACGATTGTAGCTGCCCACCCTTTGGACCAGGGGTGGGGAACGTCCGGCCCGCGGGCCGTATGAGGCCCACGAAATCATTTAGGTCTGGCCCTGCCAAGGCTACCGCAGGCGGGACTCGAAATTCAATAAATCGAGGAGCAAAACTGGAAAAGCAGTTGCGAGTAGCAACATCGTCAATACCAGCTGACATCATCACACACCTCACCAAAGAGAAGCAGTTCCAGCCATCATATTAGGGGTGAGTTAATTAAATGTTTGACCAAATATAACGGACTCATTTTTTAAGTTGATCATTTTGTATGACCCGCGAATGATGTTATAAATATCCAAATGGCCCTTGGCAGAAAAAAAAAGATTCCCCACCCCTGATTCAGACCATCGAGTGCCGGTGTCTTTATTTTCGGCTGCCAGAGCCGAGGCGCCGATCCAGAGAGGCTTCCTGGTATGTAAGCCTCGGACGCGGAGGATGCTATTAGCACGAACGACGCCGCTGTACGTGCATCAGACGCCTTTACCCAGGCTGCGGGCCCACACCGGCGCCCTCCTCTGGTCCCTGGCCCAGCGACGGGATGTGTCTGTCCAGAGTGAGGACGAGCTCCTCCAAGCAGCCAACCACCTTCCAAAGCCTCGCACACTCCTCCTGTCCACACGGAGGTCGCACAGACACAGGTTGCCAACCACCACCTCCCCCCCCCCCGTGCATAATCAGTAAAACAAAAAAGGTGAATGTGCAGTCCTGTAATTGCTTCCTAATGCCACTGCTGGCAGAAAGGCCCTCCACTACCAGGGGGCTCTATACCCCATCCCGTGCTGGTAATAAGGGGTTGTCTTACCGGCTAGGAGATGTTAACTACCTCGCCTGGTATACAGGAGATCGTGGGTTTCGATCCTGCCCCTGATGCCTGCTGTATATTTGGAGTTTGCGGTGTCTCTCTCTACCCGTGGATTTTTCTCCGGCTCTTCCGGTTTTTTCCTCCCATTTAGAATCAACGTGCGTTTAGAGTATTTGGCTGCTGTAGATTTCCACACGACAAGCAACTTTGTTGACCGATCATTTGTGACCAGGTCAGCGGGTCTTACCTGGTAAAATAAAAAAAATAGTTCAATAGTTAAAATCGTAGTTCACTTTACCATCTTGGTCAATTCGGGTTGGTGATGGGAAGGGTGCAGAGCTTGAGTCATATTAGCCATGACGGGGAATTGAACCAAGGTGACAGGGTTCAGAGTGAAGTGCGCTGACATCTAAATCTATGTTCAACACAGCTGTGCTCAACATACCCAGAGTCTGCTTGCATTGCGGTGACACATGTATCATGTTAATCATAAATTAAAAGACAAAAATATTGGATTTATTTGTAAACGCATTCTACGTACCTCATCTGGAAAGTGTAAGGCTTGTCCAAATAATCTATTTCCTCCGTGTTCTTCCACGGAACTCACGTTCTGCAGATCCATCACTTCGCTCGGTCCACGCTGCACTTGCCAATTCGTGCGATCCTTGAACCTCCCAGCATCATCAATCTCCAAATCAACTTCCGATCTCAAGTCTCTATTTTGTCTTCTCACATCCTCTTGCATTTCTAACTCAACTTGCATTCTGGACATTCCAAAGCTTCTCAATGCACCGCTGTCCCGTTGGTCTGTGCTCAACTTGTGAAACATTTGTAAATTCAAATCTTCTGGGTCTCTTCTGAACTCACTCTCTTCCATACATGACACGTACGTTTGCCTTTCAAACTTCCCTGAACGTGGAGTTTTCAGCATCAGTCTGTCGGCTGCGTCCGAATAAACTGTGGAAACGCTGGACTTGAATTCGCCACCTTGTAACGATTTTCCCATTTGCGTTGACTCGTCCGAAAAAGCTGAACCCATCGAAGCGGCTACATTACCGAGCCACGTCGGCTGCGATCGGTGCAGCGCGTGACTACAATCCGGCCTCCCAATCTCAGCCTCGTTGACAGCGACTGCCTCCGTTCGGAAGTCCGCTCGGTCTCGCGCCGCTTTGCTCGCAGTCAACTGAGCCTCAGCACGATATTCTCGTGACACCGACAACCGACCACGTTGCTCTTTTAAGACTTGAGCTGCCAGCCTTGGCGACGGCTCGGAGCTGGCCCCTGCATCCCGCTGTTGCCCTCTCTCCGTTTGCTGTCTCGCGCTCCGCTGATGTTCCGCGTGACCTTGCTTCGTCCGGGCGCCTGCTTCCGCTTTTCCTGACTCAAATATTTTGGAAGACAGGCCGCGTTCACGAGGCATCTTCAATTGCTCCTTAGTACCATGCTGCAAATATTCTCGGCCACATTGTGGTGCCTTCTTTGAGGACGTTTGAATTGTTTTAACCGTTGAGTCATCCGATCCCTGTGTCAGGAGCAGTCCCCCTTTCCACGTTAGTCGCTCTGCTCCACTCTGCTCCCAACGCTCCGTCGCGCTGTCTTCGGCAAGGAAATCATCAGCAGACAGATACGGCTCATCGTCGTGGGAGTCCATGCTCTCTCTGGCATCTTCGTCATCGTTGCCAGAGTTGCCCTTTGTGTACCACTGGCACGGCTGTCTGCCTAATGCTCGCGGCAGTCTTTGCTTGTTTCCATTTCTCCCATCCTGCAAAAGAATTCGCCCCATTAAAACTAAATACCTCATTTCATCAGGTGCAGCCCTACCGTTGCTTGGTCACACAACTGCTGGTTGAAGGACCTAAACTAGAGGGAGCTATTCCACGCTGACTTGATGCCAAGGAAGAGGTGGGAACGCTCAATCTTTACCTGACCACACACGACCTGCCCATCGACTGTCACTAAAACCATCTCTAAGGTATCGCGGACAGAGGTGAGGACATTTAGAAAACCTAACACCCCCCACCGTGTCGACTGCCGTGCCGAGAAATCGAACCGGTGATATGTGGGTTGCAAGTCCAGTGTGCTAACCAGCACACCATGGTAGCATCTCTACCTTTATCAAAGTTTGTGTCTTACCACCGTACATCCACATTATGTCAAAAGGTAGCTCAATAATTGTGTTTCGACATTGCGGTTTGCCTTGACAGCAGAGTAATAATTTAGACTTTGAGATTATAATAATTTTCTAAATATTTTTAAACTCTATTTAATGAAGGAATATACTGTAATACTATAAAATTGAGTTTGGAAGGAGCAGCGGTGCAGTGGTTATTGGACTGCACTATGAACCCGGTAACCTGAGTTCGATACCCGGCCACAGCTAACCAGCAGTGAGTGACATCGCGAACTTGTCCTGGACAGCGTGGTGAAGTATGGTCAAACGACTCCCATGACCGACCCAGAGAGGGGAGGCCTTCATCCAGCAGTGCATTAATGACCGCAAAATCTATTTATTAAATCCTCAAATAATATTAAAACCATTTTCTACGTTCCTCCCGAATTAATATTAATCCTGCCACAGCTCATACATAGACACACACACATTTACATTCACATTATCAGAAGTATCTCACCCTTAATTAACTGCATTAAGTGTTTGTTGTTACTGAACTTGTCGAGGACTCACCACATCCGAGAGACGAGCCTCATGGATACCGCTGCTGCCCCCAAGCGCCTCCTCTTCGCTTCCGCGAGCAACCCCCGGTACGGTCTGCGTCGCGACAGACACAACGGGCCTCTCGTCCGTGCGCTCCTCGTTATCCGAAGACTCGCTCTTCGTGCCGTACGCGTCTAGCTCGGGGTAAGTCTGCGTGGATGCAGACAAGCTTGTTCTGCTGCCGCGCACATCACCGGGATGCCTCTGGATCGCTGCTGCTGCTGTTGCTGATGATGATGCCGATTTTGATGGAGCGCTATTGCCTAGGGTCCTCCTTAGTTTGGTCCTACCTTCGTGTCCATCCTTATGTCTCCCCTTCAAAATAGAATGACGTTGAAATGAATTAACTGCCGTTTTATATCTCGCCGCAGAGTTGACGGGTGAAGTTTAAAAAAAAAATGTATCCACATTGCATTAAAGATGAATAGGGAAAAAATGCTTCCGTGTGTAATATTAACTAACTACTGGATTAAAAGGTTAGGAATACGCTGTTTGTGAATCGTAATGAATCTGTTCGTGTTTATTAGTGTATAATCGGTGTTTATTTTAAATACAAAGCACACGGATTCTTTGTGTTTCGCTATTATGTTGCGGTACATTATTAGATTATTATTAGTATCATCTCTCGTTTGTGAATTGCTCTGTGCAGTGCCTTAAGACACTCTTTGTATTTATAAAGTTATATACACAGTCAACTGATTCTCAAAACTTGTATTTTTCGTTACTGAAACACCATGCTTGATTATTTAACAGCCAGTAAATAAAATATCTGATCCTATGCTTGTATTTGTCATCTATATTTTGTATTTTTAGAAATGACCGCTACATATGTGTGTGTTGAATTTGTGAAGATACTGGCTATTGATGCTTCGGATATGCTGTGACATTAGCAGCTGTATGTGTGTGTCAGTGTAAATATACTATTCTCTTGTCATCGTTTTAGAGTTGGTATATCCACACACATCATCATGTACCGCACTATATAATTGTACCTTATCATGTTTTAGTTACCGTTGAAGCGTTATCTACGTGACAAAAAATACAAAATGATTTTAAACAATGCGGAGGGGGAACAGGCAAAGGCAGTTTGCATTTTAGCTAAAAAGTCCCTTCATCTGGAATAGATAAAAAAAACGAAATGTAAGCCAAAATAAGAACCGCATTCCTAACGTGGCTCCCCCCGCATCGCTTTAATCCGTGTGCGTTTTTTCCGGTCTCAACCTCACCTGTTTGCTTCTAGAGCGGTTCGGTCTTTTTATAACAACGTTCACGATGGTCGTTTGGGGAACGTGATGCAATGGGAGTGTCGGTGGCACGGCTGCTGCTCCTGCGGAGCCCTCGCAGCCGTGCCCCGAGGCGCAGCCTCCGCCGCGCTCGCCGGTCGGTGGCCGTGCCCGCGCGGGGCTCGGTGGGTGCCCGAGGGCGACCGCGGCGAGCGTCGGGGACCCTTGGCCGAGTCCCTCTGCTCGGCTCCCCTCCGACGGGGGACGCGGGTCGACGGACGAAGACCCCGCGGTGGCGCCTTCTGTAAAGTGGTGCTCCTTGGAGCCCGAGTCGCTGTCGGAGCCGTCTGACGCGTACAAGGAGCCCCTTTTGTACCTCACCGGTCCGATAATCATCGTCGATGGCAGTCTGCCCGGGTGTTCCGCGTTGACGTCGAATCCTCGATGGCCGGTTTCGGGCCGCGCCGCTCGAAGGCTCACCGACGCGTCCGGCACGTGGCCTCTAATGTCCGCGCTCATCGGGCCGCGAGGTCGTGGCTCCGGCTCCGCTTCGCCGTGTGGCGGAGTTGAGGCCTCTCGTCCCGGGACGCCCGCTGGCCTCACGCCGGACCCCGGTTCGTGTCGCGTCTCCAACCACTCGCCACCCCCACGATGCATCGGCTCGGCGTGCGGAGGAGGACCGCGCTGCGTCATGGGTTCTTGTTGACCTCGTTGTTCTTCTTGCTGTCGCCGTTGTTCTTGTTGTTCTCGTTGTTCTTCTTGTTGTCGCCGTTGATCTTGTCCTTGCTGTTGTTCTTGTTGTTCTCGCTGTCGTTGTTCTTGTTGTCCTTGTTGTCGTTGTTGTCCTTGTTGCCGTTGTTGTTCTTGCTGTCGTTGTTGTTCTTGTTGTCGTTGTTGTTCTTGTTGTCGTTGTTGTTCTTGTTGTCGTTGTTGTTCTTGTTGTCGTTGTTGTTCTTGTTGCTGTTCTTGTTGTCGTTGTTCTTGTTGTCGTTGTTGTTCTTGTTGCCGTTGTCGTTCTTGTTGTCGTTGTTCTTGTTGTCGTTGTTGTTCTTGTTGTCGTTGTTGTTCTTGTTGTTGTTCTTGTTGCCGTTGTCGTGCTTGTTGTTCTTGTTGTCGTTGTTCTTGTTGTCGTTGTTGTTCTTGTTGCCGTTGTTGTTCTTGTTGTCGTTGTTCTTGTTGCCGTTGTTGTTCTTGTTGTCGTTGTTGTTCTTGTTGTCGTTGTTCTTGTTGCCGTTGTTGTTCTTGTTGTTGTCGTTGTAGCCGTTGTTGTTCTTGTTGTACTTGTTGCCGTTGTTGTTCATGTTGCAGTTCTTGTTCTTGTTGTCGTTGTTGTTCTGGTTGCCGTTCTTGTTGTTGCAGCCGTTGTTGTTCTTGTTGTCCTTGTTGCCGCTGTTGTTCTTGTTGTCGCTGTTGTTCTTGTTGTCCTTGTTGCCGCTGTTGTTCTTGTTGTCGCTGTTGTTCTTGTTGCCGTTGTTGTTCTTGTTGTCGTTGTCGTTCTTGTTGTCGTTGTTGTTCTTGTTGTCGTTGTTGTTCTTGTTGTTGTCGTTGTAGCCGTTGTTGTTCTTGTTGTACTTGTTGCCGTTGTTGTTCATGTTGCAGTTCTTGTTCTTGTTGCCGTTGTTGTTCATGTTGCAGTTCTTGTTCTTGTTGTCGTTGTTGTTCTGGTTGCCGTTCTTGTTGTTGTAGCCGTTGTTGTTCTTGTTGTCCTTGTTGCCGCTGTTGTTCTTGTTGTCGCTGTTGTTCTTGTTGTTCTTGTTGCCGCTGTTGTTCTTGTTGTCGCTGTTGTTCTTGTTGCCGTTGTTGTTCTTGTTGTCGTTGTTGTTCTTGTTGCCGTTGTTGTTGTTGTTGTTCTTGTTGTCGTTGTTGTTCTTGTCGTAATTGCGGGCGCGATGGCTGAATCAGAGCCTCGTCTCTTCTCGGTTTATATTCCGCAGACCTTGCGTCTCTCTCGCCCTTGGTGTCATAGTACGGCATTTGCGGTGACTCTGCCACTGCCTGAGGCATCAGGGATCCGTCGTCGTCTCCCCCTCTCTCTCTCAACGCCCTCGGCTCATTTGAAGTCGCCGGTGGACGCTTCTTCTCAGGCGACTCGTAAGCCCCGGGTGGAACTGCACGGCTATACGTCACGTCTTTGCCACTCTGACCATTTTTCCTCGATGGCTCGCGTTGCATTTCATCTTTTCTTTCGGGTTCACGACTTTTCCAGCCAGGGTCTATCCGTTGCTTTTCCCTCGGCCGAGCCTTGAAGGGAGAACAACACGCGTGGCCGATGTGAAACGTTCCCGTCGAATTTGGAAGGGGAAGGCGCGAACGAGTAGCTGTGACCTGGCTTGGGAATTCTGTTCCTCTATAGCAAGCGACCTGTACGCTGGATGATCAGACTCAGAATCGTTATTTAGACTCCAGGAGAAATCCTATGAGCTATGAAGCTCTTTTGCACAGACGTCCAGTATGGGCGGATCAGCGAGTTAGAACAGCAAATGATGCAAACACACACGATAGGAGTGCGAAATAGAGAAAAAGGTAAGCAAGTCACGAAATATAAATAAATAAATAGATAAATAATTTCTATAAGTCCAATTTATCAAGCTTTGGTAAGACAGCAAAAGCGAGAAGAAAACAGTCCCAGACCACACCAAGACAACTCCACACAGCACATTAACATTGAACTATCGACACTACACAGGTGAAGATCGAAGTGACAAATGTGGCTGTATCCGGCCCTAATTTCCTGCTTCAGGACACTGAGGGCTACTGCTGAGTCCACCCGAGGGACCGCTTCTTGTCACCCACACTGCGTTCCACCACCAAACTTGGCGCGTCCAAATACTTTATCGCTCTCATGCATTCAACGCACTGCTCAGCTCTTTTCCTGAGTTCTCACGACCTTTCTCAATCTAAGAAACATTTTGACTCTTGACTCTTTATACCAGTGTCGCTTGCCATGTTGCACCTTTGGGCTATGTGCTCAGCACCCGTTATTCAGATTAGATTCCCGCAATGTGCTCACTCCAGCACACCACTTGTCACATCAAGATTGTTGTTTACAGATTGCAAGAGTTGCATGGCACAATCCGTGCCCTTTCCCGCGGATAAAATGAGTGAATTTATTAGATGGTCGGATAAAATGAGTGAATTTATTAGATGGTCGGATAAAATGAGTGAATTTATTAGATGGCCGGATGAAAGCTCCTCATTTCCATGAATTTACTCATGCCAGGATGTCCCCAATATCCTCACAGGTAGTGCGGATGTAACGTCCTTACCCGGTGCCCCTACTAGACATCTGTGAAAAAGAGCTTTATAGCTCATCGGATTCCTCCTCCAGTATAAATACATATTCTGAATCTGATGTACAGGGCGCAATTAATAAAATGTTTTAATACTTATATGGGACTATTGTTTTTAATGGGAAAAGAACGGACAATGCACTGTAACATGATAACAAATGCAATGTTAATAGCTTCAAAACGTCAAAGAGTCTGGGATCTTCCCCAGGTGGTCTCCAGAGCCCGGAGGCACCTTTCTCGTGGTATTGCTGCAAATTCTCCTAAGTGTTAACATTTTTTTGAAGCGCTCCCTTGCATGTACGTTGAACTTCTCCCGCACCGTACGCAAGCCAACCGCGCTGATCGGGGCCGCGACGTCGGGCGAATGTGGGTCGGCGTGCGAGCACCTCGGCGTCCGTGACGACGTCGACGGAGGAGCGGTCCCGTGAGGGCCGCCGGTTCTCGTCGCCGGCAACAGCGGCGAAGGGCGCTGGTACCTCGTCCGGGGACTGCACGCGGGTCGGCCGCCTCTCGTCGTGCCCGGAGTCGCTCTCTGAGAGCGTCACCACGCCCGCCGACGCGGCGAGGGAGCCAGCGCCTCCAGGTCCTCCACCCTCCGCTGGAACACACAAAGACAAAGATCCCCCCCGTGTAGACTTTAACAAACCGTTGGGGCAAGTGCTGTGAGCGAGCACCTATGAAGGCCGGCACTGTGGCACACGAGGGGGGGTGGTGGCCAGCACCACGCCCGGTCGCCTTTGTCTCCCCGGTGGCGATGATTTTATCCACCGCAGCAGGTATTAATTTGAGACTGAGTCGACCTGGGAGAGGCCCAGAACACAGACGGATGAACGTACCAGCACACAAACCAAACACAGACAAAGATCCCCGACCCCCGTGTAGTCATAACAGTGCTGTTAGCATAGTCACAAAAATACATGCATGCAATGAAAACTCATTCTAAATTGAAAACTCATTTCTTTAGAACTGCTTGTTGTGTTTAGTGTTGTTGTCCTTCCACTGCACCTCCGATTAGTACGGTTGGCTACGTACGGTGTGCAAAAGATGTTCAACATACATACATACTCAGAAATACACAAACAACATTACACACATCAATTTACTTATGAATGTATGGGGTTTTTTCAGAGTTCCTGCAAAAAATACTCAAGATAGACAATGGCCAACATGCTAAGCAGGACGCGCCTAGAAAAAAAGTGTTGAGACTCTCAGGAGCCTTCGTCCCTTCACCAGTTCTGACTGGAGGTGCGTTCCTGTCCATCGGTCTCGATGGCCTGTGGGCATCCCCTGCAGACTGTGAGTAGTTGGTCTTCTCAGGCCAAGGCTCTGTGTGAGTACCTGTGCACGTATGCATGCATGCATGCACGCAGAGAGGCACACACAAGCAACGTTACACAAATGCATTTACGCATGAACTGTAAGATAAATGTTTATGCGTGTATGTATATAAGTTTTAAAAAAAACACAAATAGAAGGACTATCAACATAATCCAAAGAGTTATAGAATCCCTGGATTGTAGGAATGCACCTAACCCACCTTAGACTGAGATCTTGACAAAAATATCCACACTAACGTTGATCGCACATGCGTGCGCTTCTGCCAGGCCCTTGATTTTTTCCTATGCATTCACAAATACTCAGCAAAGGCGATGGCCACAAATACTAAAAGCGGGCCTTTGGGAAAAGTCTTAAGGTTCGGTAAGACTTCCCGAGTCAAGGAATAATTATTGTAAAGATTCCTCAATTCTCGAAACTAAAATATCTTTATTTTACCAGGTAAGGCCCACTGAGCTACGTAGCTCTTTTTCAGAAGCGACCTGGCCACAAATGATAGCCCAACGAAGTGGCTAAACGTCATGAAATTGAGATCAACCAACAATACTCTAAACGAATGTTTCTAAATGTGGAGGGAAAACTGGAGGACCCGGAGAAAAATCCACGTGACCACGGGGAGAGAGACACGCAAACTCCAAATAGACAGGTATCAGGTTTGGGATTGAACCCACGACCCTCTCACCAGGTGTAGTTGAAGGTTCATTCCTGCCCATCAATCTGGATGACCTCTGCATATCCCCTGGAGACTGGAGGTAGCTGGTCTTCTCAGACCAAGGCTCTTTTTTTAGAGACTGCTTTAGGGATGCCGTGATGTCGTCTGCAAGGATACAAGGCATTGTTGTCGGCACTGTTGGTGTGTGTGACACTTGCCAGTGCGGCGATACTTCTGTGTACATGAGATGAAGTGGAGATGGGAAAGCCCCATCGATGATGAACAAATTTGTGCAATGATGTCATTAAATCACTCATTTATTCTGTAACAGCAGTCACGGATTATCGTGCATAATAGGAGTTGCATTTGACATTCAACTCCTATTATCTTTAAAAACAAACAATGGATAACAAAATTAGATGACCACCAGTGCAGTACAGTGGAGTAACTTACGGCTGCAGTGTCATCCGTTGTGTGTGTGCAAGAC